TGAAAATATCTATTCCCTTCAAGCCTGCATATGGGCTTTTTCTGGAGCTATAGCATCTTTGACCTATCAGATTTTGGGATTTCAGCTCCAGAAGCTCCAACCATGATAGTAAATGGTAAAAGGCAATGGGAGACCTAGCCCTAACCCTATACAGCCATAGATTTCTCTCCCATAGAGGTATCCAGTTGGTTATTTCAACAAGCAAAATTATGAATGAGGTCAGGGGTTGGGAGAATCAGCCATGGGGCTACATACAGCCCCTGAAGACTTCAAGCCATCTGGGTTGCCCTTTTTTTTGTCAGGACAGGCGGTTTACCCTCTAAACAAGTTCCTAGCTTCATTGTATTCTTTGAAATTAAACAAACCATTACTCAAAACCAGAAGCAGACCTCTAACTTTGCATATGATTTAATGGATTTTAACTGTGATTTTTTTTAGTGCTGTTTGTGTTTAATTTGGGGGCTGTGGTGGTACAGCGGGTTAAACTGCTGAGCTGTAGAACTTGCTGACCAGAAGGCCAACAGTTCAAATCCATGGGACGGGGTGAGCTCCCATTGTTAGCCCCAGCTTCTGCCAACCTAGCAGTTCAAAAACATGCAAATGTGAGTAGATCAATAGATACTGTCTCAGCGGGAAGGTAAACAGCACTCCATGTAGTCATGCCGGCCACATGACCTTGGAGGTGTCTATGGACAATGTCGGCTCTTTGGCTTAGAAAGAAAGATGAGCACCACCCCCGAGAGTCAGACTCGACTAGATTTAAGGTTAAAGGGAAACCTTTACATTTACTTTTTGGGTTTAATTCTGTTTTAATGTTTGTATATTTGCCTATTTTAAGTTGTATACTTTCATGTCAAGTTGCTTTGAGTCCCCTTTGGGGAGATAAAGCAGAGTATTATTATTATTATTATTATTATTATTATTATTATTATTATTATTATAGCCACTCTTAGGTTTGTGTATGTTTACTTACTTTTTGTCAGTTTCTGCCATCGTCTGAGTTTCAGGGGCAGAAAACTGGTTCTTAGCCCTGTCAGAGTTGCACATGTAAGGAATAGGTGAACTCTTGGTTGTTCTAGCATAGCCCTTTATGTTCAGCGTGTTCTTTTACATCTTGCATTTATCTCAGTACTGGCACTAAAAGCAGTGTACAAAAATTAAAACAGATATATATCTATATCTATATATAGACACGAGCATACAAAGAGTTATAGTTAACATATAATTAAACTCATTAGCATAAATAATTTAAGGTATATCAATTAAAAATGCCAGGGAGTCTAAATAAAGTATGACTAACTTTGGAATTGTATAGAAATAGCTTCCCTCAGCATAAACTCTCCTTCCTGATTTTTTGGGCTTCTTCCTTGTTCTTACATCAACAGAGGAAAGGTTGGCAGGGTTTCTTCTGTCTTTCATTTATTATTCCAGCAAGCTTTGAGGAACTATTTCTAAGAAGAGGGTTTTAAATTATGGACAAGACTACTTATGTCCTATCTTTTCCAAGTGGTGTACTATACATTTTCTGATTGTATTCTCACAACAGTCCTGTGAGGCAGATCAGAGAGAGGGAGTGGCTCAAGGGCTCTGTGACTTTCCTTTCTCAGTGAGCACCTGAACCAGGATCTCCCCAGTCCAGCATTTTAACCATTAACACCATATTGGCTCTATATCATATTGGCTCCACCTTTGCAGAAGCTGAGGCTGAGAACCCCATGGAGATGAGAAAAAATGCATTTTTATTGTACCTGAGAGAAAACCTTTCTAGAAATATCTGGGTCCTCCGGCATGATCACCAGATGTTGGCCACCAGATATTGGCCACAAATTAACATGGAAGGACCTACAAATGACTACAGAAGTGTTACTTCTAGGGACCTTCTAGGTCAGTACTTTGCAATCTGTGGGGCCCCAGGTGTTTTGGCCTACAGCTCTCAGAAATCCCAGCCAACTTACCAGCTGTTAAGATTTCTGGGAGTTGAAGACCAAAACATCTGGGGACCCACAGGTTGAGAACCACTGTTCTAGGTCCTCCAGCATGACTCTATAGCAGGCATTGGCAAACTTTGGCCCTCCAGGTATTTTGGACTTCAACTCCCACAATTCCTAACTGCCTACCAGCTGTTAGGAATTGTGGTAGTTGAAGTCCAAAATGCCTGGAAGGCTGAAGTTTACCAATTGTCAACTTCCAGCAGAAGTCGACCATACAGTTGTGCTGAAGGACTTAGTGGTTCCTAGATCTACATATCAAATCCAAGAAGAATCTGTGGTATAATGTAAAAATAAACCATGTGTAGCTCACGTTAGTTCAGCCCACACGCTGCCTTGCCAGAGGAAAAAAAAAAGTCATGCAGAAGAACAGTAAAGAACAAGTAGTTCATTCTTTGTAGTTCAGAACGATATTTGTACAAAGTGATTAGTTGTATCAACTCACATAATGTCCTTTCATGAGAGATTTAAAATGGTCTTTCTTTGTCCATGTGGATAAACTCCTTCAGCAGCTCGTGAAGCAAGAACACACTTCAAACACACACACACTCTCTGTTTCTTTGCAAGCCTGAACAAAAATGTAACAGTAACCAAAAATCCCAGGTTCAGCCAGTTCCCTGGGAATAGCCTGACCAATCAGCTTTGTGCATCTTATTTTACAGTCAAAAGATATTTAGCTGCCTGCACACCTATTTTATCAGTTTTATACTAATTTATGCAATGCTTTTGATACAAAATAAATAAATCTTATTTTACAGTTGACACACACACACTAATTGATTTCTTGCATGCTTCAACAGAATCAAACCCACAAATATAGAAGACTGACTATATAATCTTTTTATGTCCTACATACAACCTTGTGCGTGGATAGTCAGAAATTAGTTTCACTAAACTCTGTGAGATTTGTACCAAGCAGACATGTATAGGCTTGTGTAGTTAGAGAGTTCAATGAGGCTATTGGTAAATATTAAACAAATGGATCCTAGAACATATCAAGCCCAAACTCTCACTGGAAGACGAAATGACTACACCGAGGCTCTTGTGCTTTTGACAAATGAGAAGGCATGACTCATTAGGCAAGACGATAATGCCCAGGAAAGTGGGACAGTAGGAAAAAAGGAAGACAACACTAGATGGATTATTAATCAAAGAAGCCACAGCCCTGACCTCGTATGACTTGAGCAGAACTGTTGACAGCAAATTGTCTTGGAGGTCTCTCACTTGTAGAACCCACCATCAACAAAACCAACTCAAAGGCAATTAACAGCAGCAAACCTGCCTAAGATTTCAATGATACAGATGCAGGAAGCTAAGAAAAAGTTACATGCTGTCTACATCTCATATAAAGGCTTCAACAATCCCTTGTGAGCTTGAATAAGTGTGCTGCTGCACCTTCCTTTAACTGTAATTAATGTATTTAAGGGGATTGTGCTTAATGCTTTTAAATTGCTTTAATGTATGATATACTGTAATCCGCATTGGGATTCATATGGGAGACAAGTGGGATATACATGTAATTCATTGATTAAATCGTGGGTCTTTTGTGATGCGCTTGCAGGAGGTGATACTTGCTGGCTGAATTATGTAAACTGTTTTAACATTTTATTAAATTAATGTATCTAAAAATCTATGCAGTTGCTAGGATTTAGTCTTCTCCCTTCTTTGTATCAAGGTAGGTTACAACAGATCTATGTGCCTGTTTGGAGGATTTAAGACACCCAGTTCCAAAGGTACCTGAAGATCCCAGGCTATGTAGTTTGGCAAGGAAGCAGCACTCTTTTGCCAGGGAAGGCTAAAGACCTTGTAAAACTACAGCTCCTTGATTCAATAGCATTAAAGTGGTGTCAACCTGGATTCATTCTACAGTATAGATCAGCTTTTCTCAACCTGGGGGTTGGGACCCTGGAGAGTGGGGTCGCAAGAGTATGTCAGAGGGTTTTCAAAGACCATCAAAAATGCAGTATTTTTTATTGTTTGTGAGGATTCTGTGTGGGAAGTTTGGCCCAGTTCTGTCATTGGTGGAGTTCAAAATGCTCTTCGATTGTAGGTGAACTATAAATCCCAGTAACTACAACTCCCAAATGTCAAGGTCTATTTTCCCCAAACTCCACCAGTGTTCACATTTGGGCATATTGAGTATTCGTGCCAAGTTTGGTCCAGATCCATCATTGCTTGAATCCACAGTGCTCTCTGGATGTAGGTGAACTACAACTCCAAAACTCAAGGTCAATGCCCATCAAACTCTCCCAGTATTTTCTGTTGGTCATGGGAGTTCTATGTGCCAAGTTTGGTTCAATTCCATCATTGGAAGAATTCAGAATGCTCTTTGATTGTAATCCCATCAACTACAACTCTCAAATGACAAAATGAATCCCAACCCCACCAGTATTCACATTTCAGCTTATCTGATATTTGTGCCAAACTCGGTCCAGTAAATAAAAATACATCCTGCATATCAGATGGGTACATTACAATTCATAACAGTATCAAAAATTACAGTTATGAAGTAGCAATGAAAATGATATTATGGTTGAGGGTCACCACAACATGAGGAACTGTATTCACGGGTCGTGACATTAGGAAGGTTGAGAAACATTGATATAGATGCACTCATTAACTTCTAGTAAAAGACTGTGCTTGAACAGATAAGATATACTATGGACACTAATCTATTGATATTCACATGCTGAAGGATGGAACTTGGGCCAAACTTCCCACACAGAATCCTCATGACCAACAGAAAATACTATGTTTTCTGATGGTTTATGGCATCTGACACACCCTCGTGCCCCCCTCCCCTGGGTCCTGACCCCCAGATTGAGAAAGACTGCATGACAGCATTATTCCTCACAGCCCAGGATATATCGTAAAAGAGAAACTCTTAAAAGATAGGGCGCTTGACATATCCATACTCAGATTACATTCCATGAATAGCCAAGGACTGATTTCTTGTGCATTTTTATTGCACTGCTTCATAGTAACCACTGATTTTTTTTTCTCCCCTCACAGATATGACCACTTCGTTGCAGGTGCCCGTATGTCTTCTAAAGTGGAGGAAATGGCAAAGGTGAGGCACTTGGCAAGTATATTACCACATAAATGCTACAACCAAAGGGCATTTGACAAATGCCCTCTACACACAGGGAAATCCAGCCTTTTACATCACGGAGCTCACCAACCCCTCTTACAGAAGAGCCTACATGCTGGCTAGATTTAACATCATGCCATCGCGGCTCCATAGAGGAAGACTCAATGGCCTCCCGAGCGACAAGAGGGTCTGCCTCTGCAGCACAGGTCAGCTAGACTCCATACCGCATATTCTCCTGCACTGTCCACTCTACCAGGAGCTAAGATCCAGCCTGCTAACACAAGCTATAGATTCACTGAAGAACCGCAGCGATTCTGACAAAGTGATTTTGCTTTTAAATTGCCAGGACTTTAGCTGCTGCCTTTCAGTGGCAAGATTCCTGAATGAAGTCTGCAAACTGAATGTGTAGCAAACGAGAAGCCCTTTTTTATTACGTGTACTATGTTTTATACTCTCTGCCATGTTATGCCAATAAAGGCTTATTGTATTGTATTGTATTGACAAATGCCCTCTCATACTTTCTGGAACCTATATTATGTCCATGGCATTTTGTTTTTGAAGAGGAGCAATAGTTTGGAGAAATAGCTTAACGGTGTTGGGAGAGTTGGAGTTTGGAGGTGTTCCTCAGAAGTTGGTTTGCCCCTTATCTGTACACTTTGGTAACAGTGGATTTTACTTATACATTCAACCCTGAGATTCCATGATGTAGGGTGGAATATATTTTAATATCTAAATAAATGTTGTTGTGCTACCTCTCATAATCATGTGACTATGCCCAGTAGGTTTGGAGCTTGTTGTGTGCCTTCAAGTCATTCCTGACTTACAGCAAATGTATCATAAGGTTTTCTTGGCAAGATTTAGTCAGAGCAGGTTTGTTTACCTTCTTCTGAGGTTGAGAGTGACTTGCCTAAGGTCACCCAGTGAGTGAATGGAGGTTCAGATCTTGGTCTGCAGAGTTATAGTTCAGTGCTCAGATCACTACACCACACTGGCTCTTACTTTTTTCCTTATATAACTGTGTGTGGTATTGTCATGGCCAAAGTCACAATAGTTCCTGAGCACATCCTTGACTACAATGCTTGTGTCACAGATGGAAACCCAATCGTCTTGTCAACAATGATCAGCTTGGGTTTATGAACCATGAAGGGAAAACTGTCTATATGGCAACCATTGCTGGTTGTCATAACTCTTTCCTTCTCTGAGATCTTCATTCTCAGAGGAACTGCAGAGCAATCATTGGAAATCATTGACACAGTTGGTTCAGTTTTTCATCCCTTTACAGAAGTTAGTTTTTCTCCAAATTGTGTCCCGGAAACCGAATTGTTTCTTTTTTTAAAAAAAACCACACTCCTATATTTGACGTTTCTATGATTCCATGCTTTTTGGGGGGAGAAAGGCACGATGGAGCAAGGATTTTTACCTCCTCTTGCTGCCAACTTGTGCTGCTTTGGCTGCTGTTTGTTGGCAGAAAGGTGGGATATGTGAATAAATAAAAAGCAACACCAACATCATCTTAAAAGACATCCTGGGGTTCCAGATGCAACCCTGCAGTACAAGCGGAGGATCCCAGAAGTATCACCTGTGCTCAGAAATGGTAATCCATAAGGTCTGGTTGACCAAAGGGAGAGTCAGAACATTAGAAATCAACATTACTTTATATCACTAGTTCTCAACCTGTGGGTCCCCAGGTGTTTTGGCCCACAACTCCCAGAAATCCCAGCCAGTTTACCAGCTCTTGGGATTTCTGGGAGTTGAAGGCCAAAGCATCTGGGGACCCAAAGGTCGAGAACCACTGCTGTATATACTCATATATAAGTCTATAAAATTTAGTCAAAAATGAACTTATCCACAGGTCAATCTAAGTACTGTACGCTCCCCCCTTTTTGAAAGGAATCATCCACTTCACTGAATAGTGGTGAAAGGTGAAAGTTTTCAGTCCCAGAATAACCTAAAAGGAAAGAGGACGCCCCCCCCCCCATGCTTTCTGTCATGACACCATTTCTGGCTTTTCCGGATGCCCTGGGGGGAGGGGGGATTGTAGTAATGGCAGCAGTAGCTCTTTGATGCTTCTCCTCAAAGGTCTGCCAAGAAAGTGGGCGGGGTTGGTGCTTCTTTTAGATTCCCCGGAACAGACTTGTCTTCACCCACTCTACTCAGAGAAAGGAATGGTTCCTTTTTAAAGAGTTAATATTGTACATTATTATTATTATTATTATTATTATTATTATTATTATTATTAAGATTTGTACACGGCAAACAATATCACTGTGCTGGCTTTTGTATTTGATCACACATTGGACACTTCCAAAGTGTCTAGGACTGTGTGGTGTATCGGCGAATAATGCATGCAGATCCGAGTAGGGTGGCCTTTTGCATCTCAATGATGCTGATTTTGTCAGCGCTGATTGTTTTTAAGTGCAGGCCAGTGTCTTTAGGCATTGCACCCAGTGTGCCGATCACCATTGGGACCCCTTTTCTGGCTTGTTGCAGAGGTATTTGCAGTTCGATCTTTAAATCCTATTATTATTATTGTTATTATTATTATTTGATACCCAACAAGATTAATACACAGCAAACAAGATCACTATGCTGGCTTTTGTATTTGAACCTATATTATTATTATTATTATTATTATTATTATTATTATTAAACCAAATTATCAATTTTCCTGAGTAGAGTAGTGAAACGGCTTTTTCAATGTCTGGGTGGGAAAATGGAGATGATGGCAGCCACTAGGCTGGCCCTGAGGCTAAAATGACTCTTGACTTATCCAAGGGTCATATCAAAATCCACAATTTTGCACCCCAAATATGTCCTTATATGACTTATACACAAAATATTTGGTATTTAACTAGGTTATTCTTTAGCTGCAGGGAGGGTGTTTGCCTGTATATCTGAGAACAGATGGATTAGGTGGTATGTGTGTGTCTTTCTGGTGTGTAAGCGTTAGCTGTGTTTCTAATTTTCCAAAGAAACATGCCACTCCAGCCTTAAAAGATCCGTTGCCCTCTAGATCATTGGCTTTCCAGGTGTTTAAAACCAGTTCCCAGAATCCCTGGCCATTCTGGATGGGAACTGAAGTCCAAACATCTGGAAGGTTGAGAATTACTGCTTTAGGATACACTTTAAAATACTAAATTTCTTTCTGAAGTGTGACACCTCATGGGACTACAGATGTCTTCCCTGCACAAGACAATGGTATCATCTCCAAAGTCTGTAGAGTGAGAAAACATTTTTTAAAAAATCCTAAACAGCAGGGGTGATAAATGAGCCCATTGGAGACTTAATGTGCTTAGTCCCTATAGATCAGTGGTTCCCAACCTTTTCTTGACCAAGGACCACTTGACCAGGGACCACTCTCCAACTTTAATACCAAAAGGGTTATGAATTGGTTTTTGGTCAACTTTACATTCAGTTCGGTTATTTGGGGTGCTGATTCAGAAAATTGCATTGGATAGACCACATTAGCTCTAGTTTCTGATACAGAACATATGCCATCGAGTAGTCGCCATCTGCTCGCCCATATTTAATATTCTAGAGCCACGGACCTTATTTTAGGTCTCACAGTTTACAAGTTAGGAACCACTGCTATAGATTTTAGGAGCAGAGAAATGAAGAGGAAGTTGAATGTACTTTCCTGAAAACAATACCTAGAACATTGAGCAAGAGCACTCTACATCACAGTATTTTGTTTCAGGTCCTACTTGGGATTTCTAAAATGAACCTGAGTTAAGAATGCATAGTTTTCATCTCCATAAGATTCACAGAAAGAGTTGTTGTAGGTTTTTTCGGGCTATATGGCCATGTTCTAGAGGCATTCTCTCTTGACGTTTCTCCTGCATCTATGGCAAGCATCCTCAGAGGCAGACTTCACTACCTCTGAGGATGCTTGCCATAGATGCAGGCGAAACGTCAGGAGAGAATGCCTCTAGAACATGGCTATATAGCCCAAAAAAACCTACAACAACCCAGTGATTCCGGCCATGAAAGCCATTGACATTCACAGAAAGAGTTGAAGCAAAGCTACCTGTTAAAATGTTGGTTTCTGATTCTGATGTTACAGCAACTATCTTGATGTGATAAGATCTTTTATTTTAATTATGGATAAGAAATGTTTTCCTCCCAACAGACTGAAACATGTGATGCTCCTTTGCCCTCTGAACCAACTAAGAAGTATTTTGAGACAAACCAAACTGAGATGTTGGATGACAGCTCATGCACATGGAGTGAACAACTGGAAAATGAGCTCTTAAAAGGTAAGACTATGTGGTCTTGACAGTAATGGGATCCAAAGTCTAGGTATGACAGATGGTTCCTGATCTGTCTTGCTGCTTGGTGCCACTGTAGTCCTGTCTTGGTCCTCTGGTTTAAAGCTATTGTTGTTATTATTGAATAAGTGCATTATATAGAGATGAGTCACCTAAGCATATTCCAACTACCTTATTCCAACCAGCATAAATAAAAGTTCAATAAAAAGACATGCCTAAATGCTTGCTTACTAAATTCCTATTGATTGTTCAAGTTGGAGACTACTCATTGGATTTTGATTGATTTCTTCTGATTTCTTCAAAACTCTGAAAGGTTATTTTGTTTGGGTCGTTGTAGGTTTTTTTGGGCTATATGGCCATGGTCTAGAGGCCATGGTCTAGAAGTCATAGAATGCCTCTTAGACCATGGCCATATAGCCCGAAAAAACCTACAACAACCCAGTGATTCCGGCCATGAAAGCCTTCGACAATACGTTATTTTGTTTGTTTCAGATATTCCTTCAGTCTTTTAAAACAAAGATGGAACATACTGACTCAGTGCATCAAAGCTGAGACTATTTTAATATTAGAGAAATGTGGGTAGACCAGTGCAATATAGGTCATATTGTGTTTTGTTCAGGTATACAATGAATGGTGTTTGTCATTCAGTGATTCATTTCAGGAATAACATCATACCATGGTTTTGCACTGAGGGAATAAATGTTTTACTTATGTGTCATCTTCTCCCCTTTCAAGATTTTTCACTATTCCTTCAGATTTAGTTGTAAACCAAAATTTGCAGTTGAATTTGACCTCTATTTACAACCCTAACATTTCAGTAAAGGATCTCCATAACTATAGTTTGGCATCTTTGGAACTAATTGGAAATCTTTGGAGCTAATTGGAAACCACTTTGAGTCCCCCCAGGTGTGAGAAAAGCAGTATACAAATACTGTAAATAAATAATAAATAATTGCAACTGTGGGAGGAAAAGGAAGAAGATGATCAAATGAAGGTGTTAGCAGTTGGCTCATTCATGTAGGACCAAACAATAGTGTTAAATCTGAACCGATCCAACATGATTTATGATATTTATATACATCATACTCTAGGGAAAAGGTTAATTTCTGACAAACTGATTTCCCCAAGTACTGGCATGTTGTTCAAAATTCATAAATCATAAGTTCCCATTGTATTAAGTTCTGGATCAGTTTTAGCACTTCAAAATATGAGGATGCATCTTGAAATATATAATATGGTGCTCATGCACCATATTATGGCAGGGGCCCCGGTGATGCAGTGGGTTAAACCCTTGTGCCAAAAGGATTGCTGACCAACAGGTCAGTGGTTTGAATCCAGGGAGAGTGGGTTGAGCTCCCTCTGTCAGCTCCAGCTCCCCATGCAGGGAAATGAGAGAAGCCTCCCATAAGGATGGTAAAAAACATCAAACATCCGGGCATCCCCTAGGCAACTTCCTTGCAGACAGCCAATTCTCTCACACCAGATGTAACTTGCAGTTTCGCAAGGCGCTCCTGACACAAAAAACAAAAAACTCCAAACCATATTATGACTTATTTTCTTCCATTGTCCTGTGACTGCATATAAATATGGACATTAGTGTATCATCCAAAAGTGTTTGCAGTTGCTTTTATAGGGTTTATAGTCTTTGGTGCTCTTAATTGGAAGAAAACAACTTCAGACAGAGTGGGTGGCATTTCTGGCTTCTGAGTCCATCTGAAGTCATGCAGGCGATTTGGTACAACCAGAAGAGATGTCAGAGCACTTCTACGTTCAGTATTTTGCAAGATTTTGAGGTCTTGGTGGATTATGGAGACAAAATTTGATGTGGTTTTAAGCCACTATTGGTGAGAGATGGGAGGAAAAATAACATGCGGTTTTTAAAAAGAAAGTAGCCTCATAGTTTGGGAGTTGCACTTTTACCCCTTTGCCCTAAATAGTTGTTGGCTGTGTCCAGTTTGACAGTAAACCTACACTCAACATCATAGAAGTACTCTTTCTAAGTTATTTTCACTGCATTCCTGACATAGTTTGAATTCATTCATGAGCGAGAATCAAATCTAATGTTTAATCTTAGGCAAGTGGGCTAATGCTCAACTGCTTGTTCACAGGTGATGGTGTTCTAAACTGATTTACACATAATGTTATAACCTATTGGCCCATACATTGTCTTACACAACTAAATCAAACTATAAATTTAAGGCAAGGGGGAAGTCACTCTGTTCATCCAAAAATTTTCAGTTGCCCTAGAGTTCACATTGCTTTTTTTGCAAGCACAGTGAACAAAGAAGGATTGTTAAAACCACAGCCCCAAAACATCTGGACAATCCATATTTTAAGTTCTGATCTGTAATGCTTCCAAGGTGGTTTACACAGCAATAAATTCTGTAAGACATCCAGTAAGACTGGAGCAGAATTCAAAATGATCTTAACAGATTAGAGAGATGCTAACAAAATGAAGTTCAACAGGGACAAATGCAAGATACTCCACTTAGACAGAAAAAATGAAATGCCTGGCTCGAGAGCAGTATGTGTGAAAAAGATCTTAGAGTCCTCATGGACAACAAGTTAAACATGAGTCAACAATGTGATGTGGTGGCAAAAAAGCCAATGGGATTTTGGCCTGCATCAATAGGAGCATAGTGTCTAGATCTAGGGAAGTCATGCTACCCCTCTATTCTGCCTTGGTTAAACCACACCAATCACACTGTGTCAAATTCTAAGCACCACAATTGAAGAGAGATGTTGACAAGCTGGGATGTGTCCAGAGGAAGGCGACTAAAATAATCAAGGGTCTGGAGAACAAACCCTATGAGGAGCGGCTTCTTGGCAGTGGGTTGGACTAGATAGCTCATGAGATCTCTTCCAAATCTATGATTCTATGATTCTATATAAAGTATGCAATCATGGTACAAGTCTCAAGTGGCTGATCAGAACAGTAAATTTAAAAGATTTGGAAATATTTTTAAATTCTTTATCTAGCAACAAAGAGAATACAATGTGAGCTCAAATAATAAAACTCGGGGTTCTCCAAATGGCATTGCAATTGCTACAGAAAAATAGCTTTATTTTTATAGCTGTTTTACAAAAATCTAAAAAAAGCTAAAGAGAGGAAAACCAGTCACTAAGAGTAAGCCACTGTTTGGGAAGTTAGAGAGGTGGAATATGTAATTTTGTGGTTGGGGTACACAGTTTAGTTGGGTCCAAAGTTTTGAGTCTGTACCAAAACTTTGGACCCCGCAAACATTGCCTGTTCATTACCTCCAGCCCAGAAAGTATAAATCCAATGGTGACATTATTTATTTATTATTTATTTAAAACACTTATATTCCGCCCTTCTCACCCCAAAAGGGACTCATAGTTTCATAGTGAGATGAATACAAAGCATGAAGGCCTGATGACATTAGTGCAAATGTGAATGAAAAACTACACGTCTTTATTGTTATGAATACATTATTTTTTTAGGTACATGATCTACAGTGGTCATTGTCCCAAAATACCATTGTGTATCATTAATTTTATCTAAATAGCAGAAATAGCAGTGTATGGGTGGTTGTAGGTTTTTCAGGCTATATGGCCATGTTCTAGAAGCATTCTGTCCTGATGTTTCACCTGCATCTATGGTAAGCATCCTCAGAGGTAGTGAGGTCTCAGACCATCTGAGGATGCCTGCCATAGATGCAAGCATCCTCAGAATGCTTCTAGAACATGGCCATATAGCCCGAAAAACCTACAACAACCCAATGATTCCAGCCATGAAAGCCTTCGACAATACAATTAACAGTGTAATTTAATGGAAAATCTCTTTCTCCTCTCCCCCCGCCCTTCTTCTCACCCTCTCTCAGTTCTGGGCAATTTGGATGAGCAACTGGCACAGGAACAATCTCGAGAGGTGAACAAGAGAACTCAAACTCACTATGGTTCCAAAGCACCAGAGATCAGTCACCATCCTTCTGTTACTCAACATAGCTACCATGGAGGAGTACAAAGGAATGAGAGGAGCATGTTTCTGTCTGATGGAGTAAGGACACCAAGAGTCAGAGATGAAAACAAAGCTTCCTTCCGATCGAGGGTGTTCTATGATACATACCTGAAAAGACACTATGCAGAAGACATCCCATATGGAAATGGGTATGACAGAAAGTCTCCTGTCCTGAAGAGAGAGCATACTCGTTCTCTGGGACGGTCTTCAGAAGGGAGCTTGCACCTTTCCTCAGGACAACTGAGCAGTGGGTTTGCAAGCAAGGACTTCACAGCCAAGGATGCAGTTAACAGAAGCTGTTCTTTGTCTTGTCTTACAAGAGGACAGTCCTTGACATCTGTTGACCAGCTTTCCCCAGACAGCCTGCAGCATCCTTTGGGGAGCAAGAGAGACTTTGCACAAAAGAGCTTTCGCCACCAAACCAAGCGGACTCCCCTATCCTCTATTGCTTGGAATACATCACAAACTCCAGAACATCCACTGTATGGAGATAGGCTTCTTCGGACACAGTCATTAATGGAGTTTGGCCCAGCGATTGAGGATACAGCCCCTTGTATTCCACAGGAGAATGCAAAATACAATTTTTATAAATCAAACATTGATTACAGAAGAGGAGTACCAAGTGCGACTCATTCCATATTTGCTGACAAGCAAAGAGACTCTCTGTGTTTTGATAATCAGGAGAATAATGAGATGGAAAGGAATAATTGGAAGCCTCGATACAGATATCCATCATTTCGTAGCAGAATAAACCTGTCCCGCAAAAGTTTTCCTTCCGGCAGAATGGAGGAGCAGCTGTTTAGGCCGGACAATGCCCAGTTGTACAACGATGACGTCTTCCTTGCTTCTGATTCTACTGTTGAAGGGTCTCCAGCTAATGCAGGTGAATGGCAAAATCCTTCTATGAGGAAAACTGGTTTGTGGCAGCAACAATGGAAAAGTGATGCTCAGATTCATGAGCAAAATGTTGACCATCCCGAATCTGTAACAGACAAATTGTTTTCAAAGCACGCAGATTGTATACAGAGACATCCAGCATATGGATTGTCGGTTCCAAAGAACCAAACAGAGTTTGCAGCTTCAAGACAAAATCGGTTCACTGAGAATGCTCAGACCCCCTCGCAGACTTTTGTTAAACATTTTCAAACCAAGAAGAACTTTAAAACAAATATCATGGAAAAGGTGAGGGGTCCTGACCAATCAGATAAAGTAGATAGTAGGTGTATTACAGAAGAAGCATTGAGACATATTCCTGGGCAAAGGGAAAGTACAACAAAGTCACAAATATCTCCTCCTGCTCCCTGTTCTGTAGGTGTTTCACCTCTTTCACTGAGAAGCCCACCCAAATGGACTTTGCTAAGAAATAGGGAAAATATTTATTTATCTAATATCCATAACAAGGGACAGAAAAATGAAGATGGTTGCACCGTAAGCCATGATCTTGCTCAAACGCCTTCCTCTCTGTTAAATGCTAATCGTACAAAGTCATTGATCTTCCAGTCAGAAATCCCCAAAAACATTATGAACAACAAGATTTCTGAGAATATTCCTTCATCTGTTTCCAGGAGAGGTTCTGATATATTTTCACATAGTGATTTACCAGGTTCTTGCACTGAAAATTGTCAGAAACATAATAGATTTGTTAAACATGCAACTAGTAACAGCATTACTGGTTCTCCCAGTAACAGTCCTCCCAGATCTCCTAAAACATACTACACCTTTCCTAGAAAATCAGCCAGTATTGATGGCAATATTGTATCTGAGAAACTGGTCTCCCATGCTTTCAGGCAAGTCCCATACAGAAGCAAAATAGCTATGTGGGATAATTTAGAAATGGTTGGATCAAAAAGAATTGAAAATACATATTCAAATAAGGGAGATAACATCACCACACACAGTCCAGTTGACTCTTCCGTAAACCCATCACCCAAAGAAGTTGCTTGTGAGAGTATTTCACAAACTCAAGATAGCCATTTGCAGTTAACTCAGGATCCTAAGCACTCCTTAGGTGACCCTAGTACCATTCTCAGCAATTCAGAAAAAGCAGACCCAAACAAAACTGAAATATCTGTCTTTTCTGAGGGTGAGGACAAAGATGCAGGAAATCCTTTAAAGCAATACAAAACCACCAGCACATTTACAGTTAGCATTGAGGAAGATAATGTGAAATACCAGGAACTGGTTTCAGTTTATTATACCTTACCACGGAAATATCCAAGAATGCTGTGCAACCTTCTTCTAGACGACACAGAGAAGAGAGATCCTTCTCTACCTATAGGGAACTCTCTATCCACTGAAAAGAAGTATGAAGTTCGTATTAATTTAGCAACAGTAGCATTTCCATCCATCTTGAAAAAAGAAGAAAAAGCAAATTTGCCCACCAGTGTGACTTCTCCTTCTAGCACGCAACTGAATCCAAACACATCAGCGGATGCTACTAAAGTAAGTTCCCATGTTTTGAATCTTATTGGGGAGAAAGCAGGTGCTTCTCAGTTGCAAAATATGACACATTGTCAAGAAGAAGCTCCAACAAAAGCACCAGAACGTTTATTGTCCAGCAGACTGGGATCAACTGGTCCTCTGGATGGTCCAAAACACAGTGAATCAGAGGATAAATCTCTCCATGCAATTAGTAATAATAATAATCTTACAGCAACTTCTTCAATGTATGTTCAGAAAGATAACCATGTGCACTGTTTGACATCTACTGAACCACCAGGAAACACCAGCCCACATATTCCACCTTCCCACTTGAATAAAAATGATCAAGAGAGACAATGCACAGCACATCGAGATGTTCACACCTCAATGAGCTCTACTGAAGCGAAAATTAGACAAGATGAGGTCAAAGGAAGTGCAAGTTATTTGTATCATAAGATATTTAAAAAAGGAAATGAGTTGCAATCAAGACCCAGCACATGTAACACCTTGATTTCAGAAACCAAAGTGCCTTCAAATGTCCCAAAACAAGCTCTACAAGTGGATGCAATCTCCCCAAAGAATTCAGACCTGCTACCAAATAGGAGTGGTTTGGATTACTCGAATACTGAAAAAGAGCCTGTGTCTCAGAATTTTTCCCCACACAAAGTTTGCACGAGTTCACAGAGACCTGTAGAAAATTCTGCAGATCACCAGAAAGTTACCCCTAAAGATGAGCTTACAAATACCGCAAAGGATTTGCCTGACGATTCAGCAGACGAAAATAAGCTCAGCTCAGATTGCACCAAAGACAAAGCGAGTGACATAGAAAAAAGGAAAAACAGGTCATCCATTAAAAATAAACTTGCAGCCATGTACAAGACAAGTCGAAAGTTTTCCAGTAAGAAAACCGTAACTTCCAAATCACTCACAAGTAACATGTTTTCACAGAATGATGCCTCCCTTTTAGAGATGAGTAACCCAGACTGTGTGTCAATTTCATCCAGTATTCCAGAGTTGTCTCAACAAATAGGAAACAACAACAAGAATCAGAACCCCCCACTTGATGAATATGAAGGCATAATGCTTGACAAAACTGAGAAGAAGAAATTGCACATTCACGAAGGACCTTCATCATTCTCCAGTGAAATTCGAAGGCCTTTTACAAACTTGTGCAACCAGAAATGGAAAAGTCCCACTCCCAGTCCCAAACCAAGTAGGACAAAAGCTGGGACCATACAAGATTCTACAATCTCGTTTCCAAAAGAAATCATTCCTAAGGTACATAGTAACTTCCAAGTATGTGATGATGGTTTGAAAAATAACAACAAACCTATCTCAAGAGTTAGCATTGCAGTTCCAAATCAGAAGGGGAACACTAATGTTGCAGACTCCTCCCTTTTCCCACTTCCATCCAATATGAATTTGAATGTTCATACAAATTATTCAAAGGTGAACATCGGTCCATCGCAAGAAGTGGTATTCCCCAAAGAATCTGGTCGTCATGAAAATATAAAGCAGGCAAACAGATTTGGAAACCCTAATCAATCCTGTGTCGAGACAGTCTCAAATTTAAGTAAAATACGTGAACGACATTTATCTGAAAGTTCCTATATACGAGACTCTCCTGATCCCTTGGTATCTGGAAGCAATGCGATGCGACCTGGTGGTCGACACAGTCGGAAGTTTAAATCTTATTCTGAATTGTTGTCTTGTGACGAAAATGAAAATTGGGATGCATATGATGGCAGTAGCAGGACCCTTGGTTCCAGGCGTGTGATGTACCCATCGATCGAGTTTGGTATCTTTGGGAAAGAGCAGCAGCAGACTTTCTTAGATAACATAAAGAGATCACTCACAGAAGGACGGTTGTGGAGCCCGTGCCTTCTAAACAACCCCCGGCCTCTGAAAGACGAAGAGGGTTTTTCCTTTAACAGGCCAGAGCAGGTGAACTTGTGTTTCGCCAACAGAAACATCTCCGCAAAAGGTGCTTCCCCAAAGGAGCGTCTTCACATCCATGAAGAAGATTCAGCAAGTTCTTCAGAATCAGACTCTGATACCACAACAGACGATGAATATTACCTGAATGGGAATGAGAAAGAATCAGAACTTTGAAAGGCTATAACATAACAAGCGGGGAAGGGGATCTAAATGTTAGTTTCTTTTGTTCTTAGGAAATTTATAAATCTAGGAACGGGAACACGAGTAGATGGTACACAGGCTCTGATTTAATTTCCAGGCTACATTGCTGTGATCACCCCACAAATCCTTGAGAAAGTAAATGTACCTTTATCAGTTTGAAGGAGTAGTTTTCTATGGCTTTGACCCTTAGGAGCCAAGAAATGTGGGGAAAGCAAGAAGTGACTGGAAATCGACTTCTGGTTTTGAAGAATGGGTGCTTAAAGATTATAGAAAATATGGGGGCTGCGGTCTATTTGCTACACAGGAGCATTTTGGAGGCCAGGGGCCACCAAAACATGGCTGCAATTTGCCCCATGCTGGAGTTTACGTTTACAATGTTGAGTTAAGCTACCTTCATAAAATGTCTAAAAGAACAAGCTTCATCTCTTCAAGGCCCTGGAGAAATGTGTAGTGAAAATGTGTTAGAGGTTCACAAACAGAGTAGGTAATAGTAATAATAATAATAATAATAATAATAATAATAATAAATCTTTATTTGTATTTTGCCCTATCTCCCCACCCCCACCCAACAACAAGATGCCGCTACCATTATTATCCACATTATAGAACAGGCATGGGCAAACTTCGGCCCTCCAGGGATTTTGGACTTCAACTCCCACAATTCCTAACAGACTCAGGCCCCTTCCTTTCTCCTCTCAGCCACTTAAATGGCAGAGGGGAAAAAGGAAAGGGCCTGAGGCTGTTAGGAATTGTGGGAGTTGGAGTCCAAAATCCCTGGAGGGCCGAAGTTTGCCCATGCCTGGTGTACATCCATCCCAGGAAATCAGCTATGCTGTCAAACCGAGGCTGTAAGGAATTGTGGGAGTCCAAAATCCCTGGAGGGCTGAAGTTTGCCCATGCCTGTTATAGAGGGAAGCTAGTTATGAAGCTTTTCCTGGCATAGATAGTAAGGGATCTTTTGGGAAACTTAAAGAGCAATCAGCTCGATTTGGCTCAAGCTTTTATTATGGACTGGAGTCTGCTTCATCAGATATATGGAAACGTTGAACTGGATTCCCGTCCTTGAAAGCTTATCCCAAATAAAATTGGTTGGTTTTTAAGGTGTCCCAAGAAAACTGTTGTTTTAGTGGCAATAGACCATTATTCCCATCCTTAGGTGGTTCTTCCTGACATGCAGATTCAGTTATGGGGTTCTGGGAGGAGAATGTATGCCAATGAATGGTACAGAAAAGATAGGGTGAAGGCTGGTCTCAGTGTCCTCTTGAGCAGGAATAAGTTTTACATTCATAGAATCCTAGAGTTGGAAGAGACCTCATGGGCCATCCAGTCCAACCCCTGCCAAGAAGCAGGAAAATTTCATTCAAAGCAACCCCGACAGATGGCCATCCAGACTCTATTTAAAAGCCTCCAAAGAAGGAGCCTCCACCGCACTCAGGGGCAGAGAGTTCCACTGCTGAACAGCTCTCCTTACAGTTAGGAAGTTCTTCCTAATGTTCAGGTGCAGAGAGTTCCTCTGCTGAACAGCTCTCATCGTTAAGAAGTTCTTCCTCATGTTCAGGAGGAAGAAGCCACTGTTCCGCGTCCTAGTCTCCAGGATAGCAGAAAACAAGCTTGCTCCCTCCTCCCTATGACATCCCCTCACATATTTATACATACTCAACAAAGTATACAACAAACTATATAATTCTATGTTTCTCAACCCACAGTTTCCTCTGTCACAATCTTTCTTAGTAGTTTCTAACTTTAATTTTTAAAAAATAGGTCTGAGGAAAATAGGTATATATATAAACATATATACACTTAATACATGTAAATTGAATATAAGTATATATTTAATATCATGTGCTGATAATATACTTTATTTAATAAAGGAGAAAAAATAATATATTTGCTTGAGGACTTTATCCAATGGTTCTCAACCTGTGTTTCCCCAGATGTTTTGGCCTTCATCTCCCAGAAATCCTAATAGCTGGTAAGCTGTTAGGATTTCTGGGAGTTGTAGGCCAAAACACCTAGGAACCCACAGGTTGAGAACCACTGACTTAATCAGTTCCATTCTGCTGATTCCATCAAAACAAACTGGGACTGTCATGGAACAACATTAAGTGGATTGCCCACCATATATATATCAGAAGCCAAGAAACCAAAACAATTGTACATGCTTTTGATATTGACTGATGTGAGAGATTTTGGAATGAAAATCAGTGGGATTTAAATGTGTCTCTTGACTTTTTATTATGACTTTTAAAACAAGGAGTATCAATAATTTTAAATGGTACATGCACTGCTATGTTTTAAATGCTTACGACTTCGTTAAAGAAGTGAACATATGAGTACAGTATGCACATTTGAACACTTTGCCTTTTAGATTTGTTGAAATTGCTAATGAACTATTTATACAACTGTCCATGTAACTATCATTATTTTAATAGGGTTTTAAAATGCAACTCATTCAATGTTAATGTAAAAATGTATATATGTTTTGGTTAAAGTCTTTGGATTAAAATGTATATTGAAGATTGTGTATTTGAAACTCGTACAGGTGACAATAACTTCATGTTCAAAAATTCCTATATGTGTGTGTGTGTGCGTGTATGTGTGTGTTTACAAGGACTTGGGATTGTTCTTGGATTGTGCTTTTGACTCTCACTTGGTAATTTTTTCATGTCTATTTTGAATTATCACTACACCACATTTTGAGATTAATTCTGGAGCAAATTCTGTCTCTGGGACTATAGAAGATACTTTTGCCAACTTCATCAAAGTACAAAAGGTAAAGATTTCCCATTGACATTAAGTTTAATTAAGTCGGATTCTGGAGGGTGGTGCTCATCTCCATTTTTAAGCCAAAGAGATGGCATTGTCCGTAAACGCTTCCTAGGTCATGTGGCCAGCATGACTGCATGGAGTGCCATTACCTTCCCACCGATGCGGTACCCATTTATCTACTCACATTTCCATATATTCAAACTGCTAGGTTCGCAAAAGCTGAGGCTAACAACGGGAGCTCACCCCATCCTGCAGATTTGAACCACTAACCTTCCAGACAGCTAGTTCTGCAGCTTAGCAGTTTAAACTGCTGCGTCACAGTAACCCCCTTATCAAAATATGTTACCTTTATAAAGAAAATAGCAACTATAAGGTAAATATAAAGAGCAAAAGTTCATTGTTTAGTTGCTTAACTTTGCCATCAACAAAAACCACAGTTGGACAATGCCTACATTACCACCAACTAAAGTGGTATGAAAATGTGCTGGTTTCCAAAATTCTTCATCAAATCCTGTGGTACAAAAAGAGATGGGGAAGAACAAATTCCAAACATGTTAGAGATCGTGTGGCTCAATGGTTGGCAATTAAATTTGGTCAAAAGAATCAGCCTTAGCTGCATAGAATCTGATTTCAGTGGAACAAAGAATTGATGTCTGTTATCCATTTTTTAAAAGAAAAACAACAACAATAACAACGACTGGTTATGGTTTGGCAGTCTGTCCATTGGGTGGAATTCACTTATTGAACTGGAACAGAGTGGAAACATAGAATCATATCATGAGGTATCATCTAAGGCAGTGGTTCACAACCTGTTTGTCCCCAGGTGTTTTGGCCAACAATTCCCAGAAACCCCAGCCAGTTTACCAGCTGTTAGGATTTCTGGGAGTTGAAGACCAAAACATCTGGGGAACCACAGGTTGAGAATTCCATAGAGCTGCACTGGAGGAGATTGAAAATGCTTAAAGAGGAGAAGAAAGAAAAAGGAACAAAAGAAGAGAAAGGAAAGTGGGAAAAGATGGAAACAAAGAGATGAAGGGATGAAAGTGGGGGGCAGTGGCCCCTCCAACACCTAGACTACTCCCAGTGTGTATTAATAATAATAATACATTAAGAAGAAGAAGAAGAATACATCACACAGTCCTAGACACTTGGGAAGTGTCCGACATGTGATCCAATACAAAAGCCAGCAGAGTGATCTTTTTTTCTGTGGACTCATCTTGTTGTGTTAATAATAATAATAATAATAATAATAATAATAATAATAATAATAATAGACACTTAAGACGTGTTCGACTTGTGATTTTGTGATGGAAAATCCAGCATATATATCTTGTTTGCTATGACATACTGTGTTTTTGTGTCAGTAAAATAATAATAATAAATAATAATAATAATGTAAAGATTCTGGCACAAGCCAGTCAAGGTGGTCCCAGTGGTGATCGGCACACTGAGTATAGTGCCTAAAGACCTTGACCTGCACTTAAACACAATTGGCGGTTACAAAATTACCATCTGTCAGCTGCAGAAGGCCACCTTACTGGGATCTGCACACATTATACACCGATACATCACACAGTCCTAGACACATGGGAAGTGTCTGACGTGTGATCCAATAAAACAGCCAGCAGAGTGATCTTGTCTGCTGTGGACTCATCTTGTTGTGTTTCTAATAATACTAATATTACTACTAATAATACTTTATTTATACCCCCACCACCATCTTCCATAGGGACTCAGGGCAGCTTACAAAATAGCACACAAAGATGCCATACATAAAATACAAAATACATAAAATAAAACATCAACATGAATACAACAGTACATTGCATTAACCAGGTATATACATTGGATAAAATAACCACTATTAAAAATAGAATCGGTTAAAAGATCCATGTAGTCAATATAGCAAACCAGCTGAATATAAATAGAATGTAGATATAAAATGCTAAGTGATTGGCAATCAGGTCTGGTTACTAAACACCGCCTGAGCTCTGCGAGTGCAGCATTTTTCTGAATGAAGCAGAGAGTGTTTGAGGACTGGGACATCCGTAGGGATACCAAGGTGCTTGTCTATAAAGCTATTGTCCTCCCAACCCTGCTATACGCCTGCGAGACGTGGGCTGTCTACAGACATCACATGCAACTCCTGGAATGATTCCATCAGTGCTACCTCCGAAAAATCCTGCAAATCTCTTGGGAAGGCAAGCAGACAAACGTCAGCGTGCTGGAAGAAGCAAAGACCACCAGCCCTGAAGCGATGGTCCTCCAACATCAACTCTGCTGGACCGGCCATGTTGTCCGGATGCCTGACCACCGTCTCCCAAACTCAAGAACGGAAAACAGAATGTTGGTGGACAGGAAAAGAGATTTAAAGATGGGCTCAAAGCCAACCTTAAAACTCTGGCATATACACTGAGAACTGGGAAGCCCTGGCCCTTGAGCAGTCTAGCTGGAGGTCAGCTGTGACCAGCAATGCTGTAGAATTTGAGGAGGCACGAATGGAGAGAAACGTGCCAAGAGGAAGGCATGTTAAGCCAACCCTGACCGGGACCGCCTTCCACCTGGAAACCAATGCCCTCACTGTGGGAGAAGATGCAGATCAAAAATAGGGCTCCAGAGTCACCTAGGGACCCACCACCAGGACACCGATCTTGGAAGACAACCCTACTCTGACAGCAAGGAATCGCCTAAGTAAGTATAATGTATTGTCGAAGGCTTTCATGGCCGGAATCACTGGGTTGTTGTAGGTTTTTTCGGGCTATATGGCCATGTTCTAGAGGCATTCTCTCCTGACGTTTCGCCTGCATCTATGGCAAGCATCCTCAGAGGTAGTGACCCTCACAACCTCTGAGGATGCTTGCCACAGATGCAGGCGAAACGTCAGGAGAGAATGCCTCTAGAACATGGCCATATAGCCCGAAAAAAACCTATAAAAACTAAGTAAGTATATCCCAGAATATCAATGCAGAAAATCCCACAATATCTGCTTTAAACTGGGATATCTTGAGTCCACACTGCTAAATATTCCAGATAATTTTATACAGCTGTGTGGAAAGGGCCACATAGTGTAAATTCCAGTGTGTGGAAAAGGGCTCAACTTCCTCAAGCCGTGATTTCGGCTCCAAAAGCCCGGCCTGCGATTGGAGGAGGAAGAGAGAAGAAGAAGTGGCTTCCAAATGTCGTGATTGGCCGGCGCGCCTTCCAACCAGATTCAGCCACTCGAATTCTTTTCCCCCGCCCTTTTTTCCTAAATCTGCAACTTTTTGGAAAGTGAACCCAAAGTGATGCCGGGGTGAGGCAGACCCTCCCTTCCCCCCAAGTCCCCCTCCAGAACAGTTCCTCTTGGATGCCAATCATGCTGCTCTGGCTGGGAGTGTGGGGCTCCTTGGGTCTGCTGCAAGGGAGGTGGGGCGCTGCCTCCTCTTCCTCCTCTGCTTCCTCTTCCTCTTCCCGGAAGGCCCTTGAGCCGGTCAGCGCGGAGAAGAGCTTGGCCTGGGGGCCGGGCCTGGAGGCGGAGCTTACCTTGCCCGCCAGGTATTTCTACCTGCAGGCGGTCAGCAGCGACGGACGCAATTGCACCCGCTCCCCGCCAGGTGAAGCGCCCTGTGAGGAGTTAGGCCAGGCATGGGCAAACTTTGGCCCTCCAGGTGTTTTGGAATTCAATTCCCACAATTCCTAACAGCCGGTAGGCTGTTAGGAATTGTGGGAATTGAAGTCCAAAACACCTGGAGGGCCCAAGTTTGCCCATGCCTGAGTTAGACCCTTCCTAATGCCCTGACCCCTTAATACAGCCCCTCATGTTGTGGGAACCCCCAACTATAACATTATTTTCCTTGCTACATCATAACTGTAATTTTGCTACTGTTATGAATCGTCATGTAAATATCTGATATGCAGGATGTATTTCCATTCACTGGACTAAGTTAGGCACAAATGCCCCCTACGCCCAAATTTGAGGTTGGGTTTGCCATTTGGGAGTTGTAGTTGCTGGGGTTTCTAGTTCACCTACACTTACTTACTTACTTACTTACTTAGGTGATGGCCATCCAGCCTCTGTTTAAAAGCCTCCAAAGAAGGAGCCTCCACCACACTCTGGGGCAGAGAGTTCCACTGCTGAATGGCTCTCACAGTCAGGAAGTTCTTCCTCATGTTCAAAGATAATCAGTCTAACAACTGAGAAACCTAATTGCTTTGCATAAATACAAGTGGATATATACCACTAAAGAAAAGATTGACTCAAATGAGTTTTTAGCTCTTGTCAGAAAGACCATACTTCTGCTCAGGAAGATAATACTTTACAAAATGGTTATGATTTTTCAAATGGTAGTGAATGGCAATTAATCTCTAACAGGTCACACTTACAAAAGGCTTTGGAGATTCCGGTTTTCCTAAAGGTTATGATCTCAAAGGTCATCCTTTCCCAAAACTATTAATACTATGGGGAATTATAAGAGATAAATGAATATATATATATATATTGCTTTAATAATGCTGATGGTTTCATATACGCATATGGTATGACTCCCATATCCACTGGGGATACATTCATGGATTTATGGTGAAAACTGACAACAATGGATAATAACAAACCCCTAATGAAATGAATAACTTCTGGTGTGACCCTGGAGGGCCTAGAAAACTCCCATTATAATGTCTGCTGGAATCTAATGATAGAATTATCTAGGGGGCTAGAGGCCATTTATTGTTGGATGTGGATAGGTGAAGCAAAGTGTGCCCTAATGTTCGACTGAGATTTAATGACTTGGTTTTGCCTTCTGGGGCATCAGAGAACAGGTTTTCCCCCTCCTCTCTTTGACAGCCCTAAAGATAAGTGTACGGTCATGTCACCTTTCAATCTTCTTTTCAACAAGCCAAACATGCCCAGCTCTTTCAACCTTTCCTCACATGCTTTCATTCTCCATTTCTAGTTATCACTCCCATTTCACTGGTTTGAAACTGCTTCAACTTGCCCATATCCTTCTTAAAATAAGGCACCCAGAAGTGAATGCCGTACTCCAGGTTTGTTTTGACCATTGCAGAATATAGCGAGACTATGACTTCCCTCAATGTGGAAACAATACTTCTATTAACGCAGGTCACAATTGCTTTCATCTTCTTCGTTGCAGCATCACACTTCTGGCTAGTGTTCAGTTTATGAACAATAATAATTAAGGTCTTTTTAATGTTGCAATATCCTCCATGCTATCTCTATGCATTTCGTTTCTGTGGCCTAAATGTAGAATTGTGCCTTTGTCTCTCTTTTATTAATTTCCGAACCAGATGTCTGGTTATCTAGGCCCTTTTGAATTATATCCCTATCTCCCAGTGTTTTAGCGGATATTCCATATTCCATTACTTCTTTATTTCCTTTCCCTGGATGTTGAATTCCCAGCAGTGGTTTTCTATGATGTAAATTTTGCTGTAACAGGGCCACGTAGTAACAAGCTCCATAATATTGTTTTCTGTTGCTTTGGAGACTAGAAGACGGAGCAATGGATTCAAATTGCAGGAAAAGAGGTTCTACCTCTGGTTATTTATTATTATTTGCAGTATTGGAGCCCCCAGTGGCGCAGTGGGTTAAACCCCTGTGCCGGCAGGGCTGAAGACCGACAGGTCACAGGTTCGAATCCGGGGAGAGGCGGATGAGCTCCCTCTACCAGCTCCAGCTCCTCATGCGGGGACATGAGAGAAGCCTCCCACAAGGATGATAAAACATCAAATCATCCGGGTGTCCCCTGGGCAGCGTCCTTGCAGATGGCCAATTCTCTCACACCAGAAGTGACTTGCAGTTTCTCAAGTCTCTCCTGACACGACAAAAAAAATCGCAGTATTTGTATACTGCCTTTCTCACCCCTGGGGGGGACTCAGTGGTTCTCAACCTGTGGGTTCCCAGGTGTTTTGGCCTACAACTCCCAGAAACTCATACCGCTATGCTACCACGTTCTTGTGTGCTTTCAAGTTGTTCCCAATTTGTAGCATGCATAAGACTAACCTATGATGGGGTTTTCATGGCTCGATTTGCTCAGTGGAGGTTTCTCTTTGCCTTCCTCTGAAGCTGAGAGAGAGTGACTCATCCAGTGGGTTTCCATGTTTGACTGGTGGTCATCCAGTGGGTTTCCATGTTTGACTGAGGATTTGAACCCTGGCCTGTTACAGTAATCAAACCACTGTACCAAACTACCTCTCAGCATATGTTTGCATGTAATCTGTTGCAATCACACACAGGTTAAGAAATATTTTAATGCTATAACATTAGCAGTGAATATAGTCACAGTTAACTACTCTACGTGCATAACTTGGTAAGGAATGAGTTGATGCTTTGATTGAGAAGCCATTAGAAGGGACATCTCTGCTTCATTGTCTTTCTTAAATATAAATAATGATGTCCATGAACAGATGAGTTACAACCCAAACAGAAAGGAAACTATTGGAATTATTTCTTTTACTTTGTCCACCTCTGCTATAAAGCAATATGGTATTTTCAAGGAGGTGGGGAAGATGCCCAACCACCTGTCCTGAGCAAATCAATGGAACTATTTTCTGCATAAGAGAAATAAATCAGTGGAGATTATATTTCAGATTATAGTTCAGCACAAAATTCAATTAACATTTTATTATGCTACTCTGAGCAAATTGTGCCTGCATAATTTGTTGTGGGGCTAGACTGGGCGTGATGTCTACCAAATCAGACAAGCTTTACGAGGATCAGTTGAAGCAACACACAGAAGGCATTGGCAAGCAGGTTGGACCGGGAGAGGATTCAGGACAAACAGGAAGGGCAGGTTCAAGTCTGTAGGGCAAGAATCAGCAGATTTGAAGAGACAGAACTCGGAGAGAAGAACCAAAGCGCTCTCAGCAAGAACCTAAGAAAAGTATAAGACTACTTCACTCAAAGTACAAAGATTATTTGCATTTCTGGTGTTGAATTGAACTGATTGTGTCATTAAGTGGGATTGCAAGATAGATGGGATTGCCACTGTTGAGATGCGGGAAGAATATGATATCTGTGTGGTCAGTTGTGGCCTGCAGACTAATAATAATAATAATAATAATAATAATAATAATCCCGTAGTGAATGGCACACTGGGTGCAGTGCCTAAAGACCTTGGCCTGCACTTAAAAACAATTGGTGCTGACAAAATTACCATCTGTCAGCTGCAAAAGGCCACCCCACTCAGACGTGCACACATTATTCGCCAATACATTACACGGTCTTAGACACTTGTGAAGTATCCGACATGTGATCAAATACAAAAACCAGCATAGTGATCTTGTTTGCTGTTTACTAGTTTTGTTGTGTATCTAATACTAATAACGACAACAACAACAACCTTGGCCTACACTTAAAAACAATCGCCGCTGACAAAATTACCTTCTATCAGGTGCAAAAAGTCACCCTACTTGCATCTGCACACATTATTTGCCGATACATCACACAGTCCTAGACACTTCGGATCAAATACAAAAGCCAGCATAGTGATCTTCTTTGCTGTGTATTAATCTTGTTATGTATCAAATAAGAACAAAAACAACAACAGTAATAATTTTTGTTATCCCTGTCTTCTCATGGCTTGAGGCAGAGTACAATATATTTAAAGTACATTGATAAAACTGACCATACAGTATATATATTAACAAGCAGAACAGAGATTAAAACATTAGCAATTCAAGCTATGACCATAGGCCAACTCTGTTGAATGGAGATGTTATTTCTTTCCATATGTTGCCTTGTTAAGCTTTTACAAAAGAGAGTTCTTAATTTTAATGCAACAGTTAAAGGAGAACATCAGAGAGTGGTGGTAAACTTGTACTTTCTGTTTCAGTATAGCAGTGGTTCCCCACCTTTTTTTTGTCCAGGGACCACTTTCCAACATTAGTACCAAAAGAGTTACAAATAAGATTTTTGATCATTTTTAGATTTGGTTTGGTTGTTTGGCGTGCTGATTCAGAAAATTGCATTGGGTAGACCACATCAGTTCTAGTTGCTGATACATATGCCATTCAGTAGTCACCATCTGCTCACCAACAGAAAACCATATTTAATAATCTAGAGCTGATGTGGTAGTAGTAATCTTTCATAGGTAGTCAGCTTCTCCCCTCCTGACATCCCCATTGCCTTGACACTAAAAGAGGATTTTGCGAGAACAGTCACTCTCGTTGCCACGTGGTTTTGAGGCAATTGTATAGTAATGGTGAGGCCTCGGACCATAGTTTCGTTCTTGGGGACCACTGGTGGTCCATGGACCACAGGTTGGGAACCACTGGTTGGGAACATTAACTTGGGGAAGTTAATGTTTGTTAGCAGGGCCATAAACCAGAGGATTCCAAGATTTGTAGCCCTTTCCCACTCCCAGCAAACCTCTCCAAGATCTGATCATTCTCTCTGTTGTGTCACAGTTTTTGCTCTAGTTTACTTCCAATATTGGACTCAGAAGTTAAGAAAAGTGCCTGGAGCAACACATCATTTAATCAATGAAAAATCATTTAATAGAGCAATAGTTTACACCCTTCAATCACTCTTTTTCACTGTTAAAATGGGATCACCTTGCTTTCCATGTGATTTATAGATCTATCATACCTGGTTTGGATTTCTTGTCACAGTAGCACCACTGTGAGGGCCACATTTCATGAGGACACAAGAAGGAGCCTTTTCAGTGGCTAGTCCTAGGTTGCAGAGCTCATTCCTATGGGAGGTTCTTTTTCCAACAGAAGGGAACAATCATTTTAGGTGGAAAGGTTGTCTTAGTTGGATATGAGCTGGTTACTGCATTTTCACTGGGAGATGCTGAACATTTATCTTCAATATTACTTTAAAAACCAGACTACTTACGGGAGCTGGTTACAGGGAGTGATCTATCCCCCTGTTAAACAGCTCCACTGGCTTCCAATAAGTTTCCGGTCCCAATTCAAGGTGCAGGTTATCACCTATAAAGCCCTAAACAGTTCGGGACTTGCTTATCTCCATGATCGCATCTTACCCTATGAACCATTGCGTACCCTGAGATCATCCAGGGAGGCACTGCTCTTTCTCCCTTCACCGTCTCAAACACAGTCGGGACGAGGGAGAGGGCTTTCTTGTTGGTGGCCTCCCGGCTCTGGAACTCCCTCCCTAGGGAGATCAGACAGGCTCCTACTTTTTCTTCTTTTCGGAGACAACTAAAAAACCTGAATCTGTGCGTTTGATTAAGCAGTCCACCAGTAATTTTCCTGTCGCTACTTTAAGTTCAGCACTTTATGTCGGCCCTCTTATTGTCTACCTCAACACTTTTGATGACAGCATTCCCAGCCCTGTCTACTTGATTGTTGCACTTTCCTTGTGCTCCCTTCAGGATGAAATGCACTCATTGAGCCTGAACCTCAGCTATGTTCTCTCACACCAGAAGCGACTTGCAGTTTCTCAAGTTGCTCCTGACATGACAAAAAAAAGCTATGTTCTTTTTCTCAGACATACTGTTTTGATGTTGTTTACAACTGTGATTGTTTTTTTATATTTTATCTGATGTTTTTAATTGTTTGTGTTTTATTTGTAATTTTTTGGGCTTGTCCCTTGTAAGCTGAGTCCCCTCAGGGAGATGGTTGGCAGGGTATAAAAATAAAATAATTATTATTATAATAAATATTTTAAACTGTTTAGGTTGGTGCAATTTTTAATTAGGTAGCTAAGATGTTTTCAGTATTATGATGATGTTTTAGCCCTGTTTTCGATTTACATTGTCGGCTCTTTAAGTTCCAAATTGAGAGAAAGGTGGAATGTGAAATTAATAAATAATATATCTGTGATTGTCAGGAATGTTTTCCTGGGGTTACAATGCAGTCTTGATGGTTGGTTGGTTGGCATACAGTGGACACTTGGTATCCACTGGGATTTGGTCTGGGACCCCCAACTCCTGATACCAAAATCCATGGATGCTGCAATCCCATTATGTACAACGGCATAGTTAAGTGGTGTTTCTTATATAAAACAGTAAAATCAGACTTTCTTCTTTTTTAAAAACTCAAGCTGTGGATTGTAGAAACATGGAAACAGAATCCGTGGATAGGGAAACCTGACAATATGCCAGGAACGAAGGAGGAAAATGAAAGCATGCAAAGGGAAAGAGAGTTGTTCGTCAAGAGCAAAATATGAGCAGTATCCTTCACACTCTTTCAAAATTCAACTTTGAGATGAAAACTTAAAATGTCAAGAGGGCTGATAGGCTGCAGCAACATGAGCTATCATCAGGGTGTGGAGCAAATAGGCCTGACTCACTTGTAAACAGAGCCAGAATATTTATTGCCAGGCCACCCAAGGAAGGAGCTACAAAAGAGCATGAGTTCATTTTCATTACAAGGAGAACAGTCCATTTTACTTGCTTCGAGAAATGTCCGTGCCAGATAAGATCACATTTAATGCAGCTTGTATTGTTGGACTAATTGTGTGGTCACCATGCACTGGCACAGATCTAACACTGAACCCTCCCAAAGAAGGATATTGCGAAGGGTTGTGACATGCCACAGATAATAACATCAAAGCATGTTTTTGAGAGACTGGTTCAAATTAACAATTTATCAAAACATTGGTCGTGTTCTTACTTCCTGTAGCTGATCCAAGCAGTACTTCCCTACAAGAAAGACATCTACTGGGTGTTTTTGTGACCTAACTTTGGAAAAGCTAGTTTCCAATCACACAATGTGCTGGGTTCATTGCCTAGATATTGTTGGACCACAAGTCCCATCAGCCCTAGCTAGCATGGTCAGCGAGATTTTGGAAATTGCCAACCTGTGATATTTTGGAGGGTCCAGTTTTTCCCATCTTACAATAAAACTTTGCATAACACTCTCTCTCTTGATATTTTACCACCAGATCAGCAATTAGTTGGATCACTTCCATGTCTCCTTTTGGACGCAATTACTTGATAATTTTTCATCCACAAGATGTGTGTGTTTAGCCATCTCATTCCTACTTCTGTTTTTATAAAAATCACCCCATTCATTCTAAATAACTTCCTGATCCTAATCAGCTTGGCAGTGCAAGACCTGATGTATTACACTTTACCTGGAGGCAGCTGTGTTATAGTCAACTCTATCAGCTCCTCTTTCATAGCTCCTCTTTAAACGTTTTTGCTTGCATTGTTTATGCTGAGATAATATAATAGAATAGCCTAAGGTGGCTGCTTTTGTTTGCATCTTTTGATTTCCTGTTTTAAGACTGATTCTCATATGGTGCTGGTAAAAGCTATTATATTGTACTTCCTGTGGGTTTTCCAGGGTGGTATTTTTTGTGAATTTAAAAAATGCACATAGTTCTAATTACATTGTACTTTTTATACGGAAGAATGAGACAACAACTAATGCTCAGAGACACCAAGTCCATTTATTTACTCTTGTAGATATTGGAAATAGCACTTGAATCAGAGAGTAGCTGAATCACAAAAGCTGTACTCATTCAGGCTTGTTTACTTCCTTTATCAATTTTAAGTGGCTTGTGAAATTGCTGGGGTTTTCCTGTGATTTAGGATTATCTCTGATATAGGGTGCTTTTCCATTGTCCCAAACCATTTGGGCAATTATTGGCAAGAGACTAATAAAAAATAATATATTTTATTTATATTCTGCTCTATCTCCCTGAGGGGACTCAGAGTGGATTACAGAATACATATATGGCAAACATTCAGTGCCATTGTACAATTAACGACAAAGACAGACAGTACATAGACAGAGGTAAAGGCTTCCCCCTTTTTGTCTCTGACATTTGAAGGTTGTGCTCAATTCTGGCCATGGGGAGGTGCTCTTGTTCCATTTTCCATGCCAAGGAGCCTGTTTTCCATGGACACCTTCCTGATAGAATTGCTAGCATGTCTGCATGGGTGGCTTTTACCTCCCTGCCAAAGCAGTATCTATTGATCTACTCACATTACTGTTTTCGAACTGATAGGTTGGCAGAAGCTAAGGCAATGGCGGGAGGCCACCCTGTTGGCAAGATTTTCTGCAGCTGGCGATTTAACTCACTGTGTTACCCCAACCTCCTATTATTTGAATATAATTGAAATCAAGTTATGTTTACAGCCTACATTTATTTTCTGTTTTTCTTTTTATTCTTAAAGGACAATTTAGTGTGTCAATCAAACCACTTTCATCCAGAGAAAGCATCCAGATCCATGTTCCGAAGCTTTTGGACAGGAATGATGGCTCCTTTCTCATGCGATACCGACTGTATACAAGTGTCAAGGAAGGATTAAAGGTGGAGATTCTTTATGGGGACGCACACGTTGCTCAGTCTCCCTATACCCTGAAAGGTAATGTTTTGTTTCCCCTCATTGCCTAATTTGTTTGTGATTTTATCCCATTGGATGCTGCTCAGCTGACTGATGAAAACATAAATAGTAGATTTTTTGTGTAAATTCACTGGACATACATATGTTGTAACACTGTAATCAGGAATAAATTATTTAAAAAGAAACCCAACCCTACATCGCATTCTTGGAAACAGTTCTGGTTTTTTGTATCATGAAAAATGGTAAGTAGTAGTCAAATTGGGTTTCTAGCTGGAGAAATTCTACCTAAAAATCTTGATTGGGGACTCAAAGATATTAGGGTATAATCAGACTTGTTGATCATAATTTACCAAAGGGCTGTATGGAGTGCTTTCCTATGCTTGTTTTAAACCAGTGGTTCCCAACCTTTGGTCCTCCAGGTGTTTTGGACTTCAACTCCCGCAATTCCTAACAGCTGGTAAGATAGCTGAGAGTTCTGGGAGCTGAAGTCCAAAATACCTGGAAGACCAAAGGTTGGGAACCGCTGTTTTAAGCTAAAGAAGTAAAGAGCCAGTTACAGATATCGCAAAATTGTAACAAAAAAATAATTCATATTGGTGGGGTGAGTCTTTTTTGTAATATATAGGACTGCTAGATTTGCTAAAAAGTACTTATGTGTTTCATCAGATAATAAGGCACATTTATTAAATGATTTGAATTAAAACCTTTTTTCCCATTTAAGTCTAGTCTGTTGATTTGTTGGGTGTCTTGTTACAATGTGTTTTGTGTGCGGTTTTGTTGTGTAAAGAAAAGACCCAGTTTGCTAGTAAGCAATACATTGAAGGGAACTGAACAATGTAAAGAAATGATCATTTTCTTATGAAAGTGGGCATAATAGGGTACTGTATCCAGAACATGTTTGATTTAGTAGGATACTTTATACAGCAGTTCCTGACTTTTTTTTTTGACCAGAGACCACTTGACTAAGGACCACTTTGACCAGGGACCACTCTACAACTTTAGTACCCAAAGGGTTTTTGGTCAACTTTCAATTCGGTTTGGTTATTTGGGGTGCTGATTCAGAAAATTGCATTGGATATACCACATCAGCTCTAGTTTCTGATACAGAACATATGCCATCCAGTAGTCACCATCTGCTTACCCACAGAAAACCATATTTAATAATCTAGAGCTGATGTGGTAGTAGTAATCTTTCGTGGGTAGTAGCCAGCCTTTCCCCTCCCGACATCACCGTTGCCTCAGCACTATAAGAGGATTTTGCGAGACCAGTCGCTCTCGTTGCTGCATTGTTTCGAGGTAATGTGAGACTGCGAACCATATTTTTATTCTTACAGACCACAGATTGAGAACCACTGCTTTAAAGCAAAGTAGTTGAACAATATAATTTGTCAAATATCCTGTATCCCAGCCCTGCTAAACTAATCTCATGATTTTAAGTTGGACATAACATTTTGGATATTTTGAAGGAGCGCTGCTAAGCCGCTTCGTAATTCAAAGTGTGTTGAAGTCTTATAAATTCAACTCTCACTTGGATGTAAAAGACAACATTGTTTTATGGATTATAACCTCCATTTGCATAGATCATAGGGTTGGACCTTTCAAATATGATGTTGCTTCCTCCTGTTCAGGTCCCATTTACCATGAATATTGTGATTGTCCAGAAAAAGATGCCAAAGTGTGGGAGAAAAGTCTTTCTTGTCCATCCAAGGAAGCTCAAATTACTGAAGACTTTGCTGCATTTCCTAGCATTGATCTCCAGCAGATGTTTAAAGAGGTCCCACCAAGGTTTGGCCAAAGGATGGGAGCCATCGTTCATTATACGATAATCAATAATCAGATTTATCGTCGAACCTTGGGGAAGTATACAGACTTCAAAATGTTTTCTGATGAAATGTTGCTGTCATTAGCAAGGAAGGTATATTTCTACAGATATGTACTTATTCACAACCATGTTAACGTGCATGTTTACAACAGATAGTCATTGAAAAAATCTGTTTCTGTGTCTCTTAAAGAATATTAGACAAGCTGCATATCTGCAAGATCTCTCCCCTTCTCAAATGTTTTCAGTGTCTGCTAAGTCATGGGATGCAACATTCCAGTTTCAGGCAAAGAAGAAAGTTAGTACAGGCAAAGAGGGCAAATCTCATGTACCCATATTACAATGTACAATTGAAAACACATTCTGGTTTTTATTCCATTTAAAGTTAAGCAATGCTCAATTGATAACACCTTGAATTTAGTCTAAGATTCTAAAGACAGCAGGTGCTGAAAAGGGACAGTCTACGTCTACATTTAGTTGAATCCGGGTAAGAAGAATAGATTGGCTCCAACTTTATAGTAGCCAATATATTTAAATCTTTAGTACCAAATATTAGATGTGTACAACAGTTTTGCAAACTTTTACACAGTGTAACTGTTGGAAATAGCAACCTTCTTCAAGCCTCCATTAGTAATTTGTTTATATATCATTCAGATTGCTTCCTGTTTTGTCTATGTTTTTAGTATGCAGTTTTCCTTAACTCTGTGTTGTGGGTGGGGCTGCAGACCATGTGATCAGATCTGGGACTATTCAGGACTCAGACTCCATTTTAGAAACAGTATGCTTTTCAGAAGTCAGTAAAACAGAATGCTTTAGAGACTACAAGGCTCTCAGACCAGAGCGATGCTTTAGACTGTGGACTGTTGATTACAAGAAAGATGCCCTGCGTTATCTGCACAGATAAACTACTTCAAATCCTATCTGTAGCTAGATTGATATGCAATGTACCTGTATGCTGAATGCATGAAGTTTGTGAGTAAACCAACTGTTGTTTTAATGAAGACAATTTATTTTTGTCTCTTGAGAGCATGATATTTAAACCAAGATGTTTTAAGGGAGAGTAGATGTTTTTGGGCTACTGAAAATAATACTTCTGAAACTCTGCTCTTTTTGTGCATTGGCATATTTTTGTCCCTAACAGTTCAAAGAGATATCTAGGTATATCGGTCTGACAGCTGAGAAACCTAATTGCCTTGCATGAATACTAGTGGATATTTATCACTAAGGAGAAGGTTGTCTCATGCAAGTTTTTGACTCTTCTCAGGAAGATCATACTTTACAAAAGGTTATAATTTCTAACAAGGTCACAACTTTCCAAAAGATTCTTGATTTTCCCAAATGGTTCTGAATATCCATTTTCCAAAAGGTTATGGAGATTTCCATTTTCCAAAAGTAATTATTTTTAATATTATTTTCTTTGTTTTGTTTTTTTAAATGTAGCATTAAACCAACATTAAAACAATGTCTGGGGATGGCTTATTAAAAACAACAAAATTCAGAGACAATATAACTTTTCTGTAAGTCTGCATTATTTATTATTACTATTATTATAATCATCCTCATTGTATGTATATATACCTCACTTTCTCTCTGCCAATGGAGACTCAAAGTATCCAATATTAAAAGGCATAACAATGTGTGAATTAAAACACATATAAACATAAAATAGAGTCAAACATAGAAATATTAAAAATGCATAGTTAAAACCAATGAAACCATTAAACAAATCTCAAAACTAGCCCTTTCACATATTAAGTAGATAGGCTGGAAAACGTTTCCTTTCGATAACTTTTAATACTGTATTTTCATTGAGCATAAATGCTAAACTGAGACTGCAAGTATTAGAATAATGTAGTTTATAAAAGTTCATTGGTTTATTTCAGGTTCATCTCCCAGATGTAGAATTTTATGTTAATGTTGCTGATTGGCCCATTGAACATCGGAAAGCAAATGACACTCCGGGCCCTGTCCCTATCCTTTCGTGGTGTGGGTCTGTGGATTCAGCCGACATTGTGCTTCCCACTTACGATGTCACCCACTCAACCCTTGAAACTCTGCGTGGCGTCACAAATGATCTTCTGTCTGTTCAAGGAAACACAGGTAAAGTGAGCTCTACTTCAGATGAAGAGGGAATAAGAGCTGAAACATTGCCAAGTAATGGAGTCAGAGGTACAAAAAGGGCCACAGACTTTAGAAATTTAACCTCTGTGGCACACATACTGGGATTTCCCACCCTTTAGGGCACTCGGGATATTACTGTTTATCATATTGGTAGGATTTCTAGGGATGATAAATAATTTCATGCCACTACACTACAACTCTGGAGAACAGATTCAAGTCCCTACTCAGGTGTGAAAATACTCAGGTGTAAGAAGTCAATACTCTTAGCCTCAGAAAAACCCTGGTATAAGGTCTCTATATGTTGGAAATTATTTGAAGGCACACAATAACAGTAAATCATTTTATCTCTGTTTAGTCTCATTTAGGCCGGGCTATAGCATAGCTGTTAATCACCAGCAGCAATAAGATCTACCAACCAAAAGGTTGTCAGGTCGAAGCCCGGGTCGGGTAAGCACCTGACTGTCAGCTCAGCTCACTGTTTACCTAAGCAGTTCAAAAACAGCTTAGTGCTATAAGTAGAGAAATTAGGTACCACTAAAAAAGCAAGGGAGGTATTTTACGACACCATAAAAGAAAAAGGCCCCAAAATCCCTGTGTGCAAAAGGAAGGAGGAAGTCCTGGTGGCTCTTCTTCATAGAAGACGTAGCGACAGCATCCCCTTGTGGCTTGATTGAGCATAACCTCCAAAGGCGCCGAAAAGCTGGACATTGACACAACATACCTCCTTTCTGTCTGTTCTGTCTTGTCTGTCCAAATGGCATTGAATGTTTGCCATGTATGTGTACTGTGATCCGCTGTGAGTCCCCTTGATGAGATAGGGCAGAATATAAATAAAGTGTTGTTATTGTTGTTTTCAAGGCCAGGTTAGAAAGTTGAATGTAGAAAATTGACTATATTCTGTTCACTACATTAGTTCTGAATTAGAAATAGTTAGATCTTCAAATTATTCCATGAAAGACATGCACACAGCATGGGCAAACTCCAGAACATTCATGCTTCCTTTTGCTATCCCAGTTTTCAGGTTTTTCCATGTATATGTCAGAGCAATTCTTTCAGTGCCCCAGTAACAGGCAGAAGAAAATTCGGAGCAAACAGACTGTGTTAAAACAATTTGAGAAGGTAAAGTCAAAGGGTGCTTGTAGTTCCTAAACTGTCCTCAATTTCAACCTGCCTGGGATCTTTAACCACATAATTCTTTCAGTTTTATCTAAAACTGGAACCTTTACTTTCCCTTACTTTTATTTATCAGCATGTGTCACTTTTTAAAATTTAAGCATTAAATTTCAGGATTTCTGTGTTTTACCTGCTCCTCTCTGTTGCATTGTCTACCAATTTCAGGACCTGTCTGGGAGAACAAAACCGAACAAGGTTTTTTCAGAGGTCGAGACAGCTCTGAAGAACGGCTTCAGCTTGTGAAACTCTCCAAGGAAAACCCAGAACTTCTGGATGCTGGAATAACGAGTTACTTCTTCTTCAGAGAAAAGGAGAAAGAGCTGGGGAACGTTCCTCTGATGGGATTCTTTGATTTCTTTAAGGTATGCCACCTCCAGGCTTATTATAGCACCAAGATCAGACAAGCTGAACTTCCTCCCATCAAACTTTCTATTTTAAGACTGTTTCAAAGTTTAAAAAAATCTGCCTGGAAAATACTTTTAATTTAAACAGTACTATAATGTGGAACCAATAGACATGGGTATTTTATTGTGTGCATATTGGGTTTAAAAAAAATGAATGAGGGACCACATCTCCTCCTACGAGCCCTCACAAGTCCTGAAATCATCAGGAGAGGTCCTCCTCTCAGTCCTATCACTGTCACAAGTGTGATTGGTGGGAATGAGAAAAAGGGCCTTTTCAGTGGTGGCTCCACGGCTGTGGAGCTCCCTTTCTAGAGAGGTGTGATCAGCCCCTTTTGTGTTGGCTTTTTGTTCACAAATTAAAACCTCTTTGTGGAACTAGGCCTTTCCTGATGACTTATAACAGGCAACAGCCAGATAGTTACTGGTAATATACATCTCTGAATGTTATTCGGACTTGGAAATGTGGTTACATGGCTTAATGAAGATGGAGTTCCTAGGATTTTAGTACAACTGTTCTTATGGATAACCCCAGTGATCTGAGGTTCAAAGAATTTTAATGGTATATGTTGTAAGTTATTAATCTGTTATTTATGTTTTATGTAGGGACAATTGGTTCATTTGGTTTATGGTATTTTTATTGAATTTGTTTGAATTTGTATGTTATGTAATTTCTATTGTTTCTAACTACTGTACGCTGCTTTGAGTCCCATCCATGGGAGATATACATGAATAAATATGTATTGTCAAAGGCTTTCATGGCCGGAATCACTGGGTTTTTGTAGTTTTTTTTTGGGCTATATGGCCATGTTCTAGAAGCATTCTCTTCTGACGTTTCACTTGCATCCTCAGAGGATGGCTGCCATAGATGCAGGCGAAATGTCAGGAGAGAATACTTCTAGAACAGGGCCATACAGCCCGAAAAACCTACAACAACCCAATGAATAAATAAATAAAGTGGTTATTATACCTCAAACTGTACATGTGGATTGTACCCATTTCTTAAACCAAAGACTGGGGACATTTTTTCTCCAGATCTTTCCCATTCTGTCCTAAACTGAAAGGATTTTTTTGGTAGGGATTTTGAAGCTTTTAAATATGCCTCTGCTTTTTTATATAGGCAAGAACTAGAAACATAGAAAGTTGCCTGTTTGGCTATTTTTCTATCTAGATCAGAATTCTCTTATTCAAAAGTGCAGTTACTTGACTATTCTGCAAACATTGGAATATTTTGCAGAGGAGTAGTGCCTACATGTTACATCCAACACTAAACCCCACCAGAATTTGGAAAATAGTGCATAGCCAGAAAAAATGAGGAAATACAAAAGTATATGTCTTGGATATACACAATGGGCTTTGTTCTTTAGGCAAATTAATTGCATTGTGGAAATAGGCTTCAAATTTAAGACCCTTAAAAATAAGTCTCTTTAGATCTGACTAATACAAGAAAAGGTGAAAGAAGAAAGCGCAAAAGCCGGGTTGCAGCTAAACATCAAAAAAACCAAGATTATGGCAACAAGAATGATTGACAACTGGAAAATAGAGGGAGAAACCGTGGAGGCCGTGACAGGGTTTGTATTTCTAGGTGCAAAGATTACTGCAGATGCAGACTGTGGCCAGGAAATCAGGAGACGCTTCCTTCTTGGGAGGAGAGCAATGTCCAGTCTTGATAAAATAGTGAAGAGTAGAGACATCAGACTGGCAACAAAGATCCGCCTAGTCAAAGCCATGGTATTCCCTGTAGTAACCTACGGATGTGAGAGCTGGACCTTAGGGAAGGCTGAGCGAAGGAAGATCGATGCTTTTGAGCTCTGGTGTTGGAGGAAAGTTCTGAGAGTGCCTTGGACTGCGAGAAGATCCAACCAGTCCATCCTCCAGGAAATAAAGCCCGACTGCTCACTGGAGGGATACTAGAGAGACAAAATTGAAGTACTTTGGCCACATCATGAGGAGACAGCAAAGCCTAGAGAAGACAATGATGCTGGGAAATGGAAGGGAAAAGAAAGAGGGGCCGACCAAGGGCAAGATGGATGGATGGCATCCTTGAAGTGACTGGACTGACCTTGAAGGAGCTGGGGGTGGTGACGGCCGACAGGGAGCTCTGGCGTGGGCTGGTCCATAAGGTCACGAAGAGTCGGAGACGACTGAACAAATGAACAACAACAATACAAGAAAAATTATAATCATGGAGAATTTTTATTTATTTTGTGTCAGGAGTGACTTGAGAAATTGCAAGTTGCTTCTGGTGTGAGAGAATTGGCTATTTGCAAGAATGTTGCCCAGGGGATGCCTGGATGTTTTACCATCCTGTGGGAGGCTTCTCTCATGTCGCTGCACGGGAAGCTGGAGCTGACAGATGGGAGCTCACCTTTTGGTCACCAGTTCATCCAGCACAAGGGTTTAACCCATTGTACCACCAGGAGCTCCTAATAATAATCATCATCATCATCATCATCATCATTTATATTCCACCCTTTCTCCCCAAGGGGACTCAGTGCAGAAAAGCAAAGAAACAGGGAAGTAAATCTATCAAAGAATGGGAACATGTGGTTATATTTGAGATGTCAGACCAATTTTAGCAGTTAGCCTCCCAGCTTGCCTATCAAACAAGTAAGCTACTTGTACTTTGTCAGCAACTCATAAAACATAAAGCAGCTTATTGCATGATATGGTTCTCTGATATATTTCAAAAGCCCCATAAAAGATCTGTAGCCTCTGAGTTGTGGCTGTAGACCCAGAATGGAAAGATAACTCAATAAGAAAACAAGGCAGTAAGTTAATTCAAGCTACAAGAGCAAAGAAAAGCTGTGAATCTGAAAAATGATTTAAACATCAGAGTTTTGTTTTGTTTTTTCATATCAGGAGCGACTTGAGAAACTCAAGTCGCTTCTGGTGTGAGAGAATTGACCATCTGCAAGGACGTTGCCCAGGGGACGCCCGAATGTTTTGATGTTTTATCATCCTTGTCGGAAGCTTATCTTATGTCCCCGCAGTGGGGAGCTGGAGCTGATAGAGGGAGCTCATCCGCACTCTCATCAGAGAACATAGTAATGCCAAGGAATGACATTCTTTGAAAAAAAATGAATACCTTGGCTCTTTTAAAATAATGTATGACGTGCTGTTTTCCCATGCTGTAAGCAAAGAACAGGTCAGATTGAACTTCAGGATACTTATAGACATCAACAACAAAGCAAGAGTTTTGGACTGACTCAGGAACAGATGGAATAAAGAGATCAAAAGCCTGACACTAAATAATTAATGTGGTGCCTGGCTTCTTGATTGGACTGAATCATTACAAGGCCTATCCTTCCAAAAGATACTTGTGGAATTTTACTGATTTATTTTGCAAGGTGGGTTTCTTCAAGATTAGACTGTGTTCCACCACTTTTTTACTGATTTGCTTAACATTATAAGCGTACTCTCATGGGGTGACATAAAAAGTGAAAGGCATTCGCTTGCACCTTTGCCTAAGCTTTACACATTGCAGTTGACAGCTCCTTTAATTAAATTACAGTACAGGATACACAAGTCAATGAACTTCAACCTAGAGACATGTAGCTTAACTTACTAATATCAGGTTCCTCTTGTATTTCCTGCCTTGCATTCCAACAACAACAACAATTAAGTGTGGGTGAAATCAACAAAATGCTGCAATACAGATTACAGGCAGTCCCCAAGTTATGAACAAGATAGGTTCGGTAGGTTTGTTCTTCAATCGAATGTGTTTGTAAGTTGGAACAGGTACATTTTCTGTGTGATTCTGTGGTAACTTCCAGAGGAAACATGCCATTCAGATTCTCGCCATAGGCTGAAATAGAAAACAAGATTTAAATAACACATAGACTAGGAACTAAGCATACCTGTTATTATTTGAATTGTGACCTGAGAAAAGAGGCATTTTGTTCAAACTGTTTTCCTTCTCCTTTCTTTTTTCCACAGTACAAGTACCAAGTGAGTGTAGATGGTACTGTTGCAGCCTATAGGTTCCCATACCTCTTATTGGGAGACAGTGTTGTGCTCAAGCAGTCTTCGCCATACTACGAGTACTTCTATAAGGAGCTTTTGCCATGGAGCCACTATATTCCTGTTAAAAAAAATCTAGAAGACCTGCTGGAAAAACTAAAGTGGGTTAAGGTAATTGTGGGTTATATGATTTGGGTCCAAATTATTTGAAGGGCTGTATGAAGCTATCAGAATACTGTGATCATCTGAAGAGCACCTTCTCTCTGTCCCAGCATCTTTTCAAGCTTGCTTGGTGGGAACAAGGGAAAAGGCATTTTCGGTTCCCAAACGTGGGAACTCCCTCCCCAAAGAGATCAGGATGGCCCTAATCCCTTCTTGCTTTTCACAAAATAACCCTTCCATCAAGCATTTAGGAAATGATGAAAGCCAGGCTGTTGTGGATGATGTGAGTGGCATTTTTTATTGGGTGTGGACTTTTAATGCATTTTAATTTTTAATGTTGAATTATTCTAATAATAATAATAATAATAATAATAATAATAATAATAATAAGGAAGCAGATGAAACAATAGATCACATCCTCAGCTGCTGCAAGAAGATCGCGCAGACAGACTACAAGCAGAGGCATAACACTGCTGCTCAGATGGTGCGGAAACAAGCCTCCTGATTGCTGCTTCTCCTCCTTCTCCCTCCCTCTGACGGAGTCATTCTATGTGGCACCTGGAGGGGGACACACCTTAGTGCCTTCATTTTTAGGACTGTTCCTAGGGTTATTTGGGGTACTGATTCAGAAAATTGCATTGGATAGATCACATCAGCTCTGGGTTATTAAATATGGTTTTCTGTGAGTGAGCAGATGGCGACTACTGGATGGCATATGTTCTGTATCAGAAACTAGAGCTGATGTGGTCTATCCAATGCAGTTTTCTAATCAGCACTCCAAATAACGAAAGCAAATCTAAAGTTGACCAAAAACTAATTTGTAACCCTTTTGATAATAGGAATCACTCTCCAATAAAATATTGGAGAGTGATCCCTGGCCAAAAGAAAAAGGTTGGGAACCACTGGTATAAACAGATCCACAAGAATGCTGTTCTGCAGCTTATAAAACATGTCCTTGTATTAGCAAGAAGTATTTTCTTACGCCTCATTGTACACAAATAGGTGGTAATTATATGGATGGAAGAAGACAATTACAGCTCTGTGTTGTGAGTAACTCCATCTGCGTGCGAGATGTCAAACCTGTTTGACATTTCGCTGTGGCTTGGACAACAATCTAGCTCTCCTGAAGCTGTGAAATTCTCGCCCTTAATTGTGCCAAACTGTGCTAATAATCATTAATTGTGCTAATAATCATTGAAGCTTTATAAGGTTAAGAAAATAGAAATTGGCATTGTACAACATATAGAGTTGTACAGTGTAACTGCAGTGCATAGGCGTAGCATTTCTTCCGTTTCTGAAAATCAGGGGATCCCCTTTCTTGAGCACAATTATAACAGAAAGAAATGGAATCAACAAGTACTTTTATTGTTCTGCTATATGTTTGCATGCGTGTCTCTATCTATCTCTTTTTCTTAGGAAAATGACGAAGTGGTTAGAAAAATTGCTAAAGAAGGGCAAATGATTGCAAGAGAACTATTGCAGCCTCATCGGTTTTATTGCTACTATTTTAAAGTCTTCCAGGTGAGTCCAGATTTCAGCCAAGGTCTTACTGTTATTAACTGTATGTTGTATTTTTCCTCTTCTCCATGGTCCTTGACTGCTCTAATGTTACAATGGGTTGAGATGTAGCAAACAACATGGCTTTCAGTGACATGAACATGGTTTAGTGAGTCATGTCTTTGTAAACACTCCTTTCTGTAGTTTCCTCCCCTTTTTCATGGCAGAGGAGATTGGAAGCTTATAATTTTTAAAAAGATGAGTTTTAGAATCTGAGAAAGTTGGACAGTGAAGAAAGATGATAGGAAGAAAATCAATGCATTTGAAATGTGAAGCTGAAGGAAATTCTATAGATACCAAGGAATGCTAAAAAAGCCAATTAAAGGGTCTTAGAGCAAATCAAGTTTAATCTGTCACTGGAAGCCGAGATGGCTAAACTGAGGCTGTCATACTTTTATGAGTGGCATCATGCGGTGACGTGATGTATTGGAAAACAGGATAATACTAAGTAAAGTGGAAGGCAATAGGAATAGAGGGAGATGGTAATACAAGTGGATTTTATTTATTTCATGCCAAAAGCATTGAAGAAGTAAATAAGTTTAAAACTGATAAAATGGATCACAAGCAGTTCAATGGTTTTAGACCAAAAAAAGGCAACAGTGACCGCATTCCATTAGCTTTAAACGGTTTTTCCTCTGTGCATGAGGCAGGGCATTGTGGGCAAGCATACAGGTGCTTGTTTGTTCTGCTCCACAGTCACGCATGGTGGAGGATTCTTCTAGGTCGTGCCATTTTGCCAGGTTGTCTTTTGATCTGCCCATTCCATTTCTGAGTCTGTTCAGGGACTTCCAAGTTGCCCATTCTTGGTTTGCCCCTGGAGGAAGACCCTCATGGGGGGGGGGGGCATCCATTTGGGATCTCCTGGTTTAGCTGTCCAGAGGGATACTCTTGCAGTTGTTGGAGGAACATTTAGAGGAGTGGTGGTTCTTATGAAACTTTTCCTTGATTTAAATCTACTGGGAGGAGGCTGATAGCCATGCAGTGGATGGCTTTCACAGTGTTCAAACTTATTTCTCTCGCAATTGGCAGTAACTTCCCATCGCACATCGGGGAGGCGGGGCAATGTCAGCTAGCTTATACAAGTGGATTGCCTCCCATCAAGGGAGCCATAGCCTTGAATTTATATCCCTCCCTTCTCAACCCCGAAGCGGACTCAGAGCGGCCTTACAAAGGCAACAATTCAATGTCATATATTAATACATCGGTAAATAAACAAAAAAAAAATTAAAACCAAACACATTAAAAACATAGCATTAAAACATCAATTGAAATCACATGATTCAAATAATATTCCAGGGCTGGTCTGAGTCATTGTTATATTAATTTGTAGTCTCATATTGCAGTACTCCCATTACTGGCTGAAAGCCTGATCGCAGAGCCATGTTTTCAGTTTTTTTTCCTCAAGGTCAGGAGGGATGGGGCAAATCTAATTTCTTTGGGGAGGAAGTTCCATAGGTGAGGGGCCACCACTGAAAAGGCCCTGTCTCTCATCCCTACCAGTTGCGCTTGCAAGGGGGCTAGGACCAAGCGCAGGACCTCCCCCGATGATCTTGACCTCCGAGGTTGGTCATAGAGGGAGAAATGTCTGGGCAGGTAAGCTGAACCAGAACCATTTAGGGTTTTATAGGCTAAAGCCTAAAATGCACCGCATACCCAAGTTCAAAAAAGTAATTAAATTATCAAATTAAAATTAAAACCCAGTTAAAATGAATCACCATCTGCAATTGAGAAAAGCAGTTCCATTAGTGGAACAACTTGATTCCATTCAATGTTTTTACAATACAAAAAATTATTTCTAAAGAGAGCTTTGAGGGAGGTGAGAGAGTGTGTTGAATAGCCTCGCATTGCTTCAGTTCCTTTTTCAGAACCATTTGCATGTTTCAGGAATATGCTGAACGCCAAAGTGTTAAACCTGAAATACGAGATGGCATGGAATTTGTCCCTCAGCCCAATGACAAAACTTCATTATGCGACTGCCACAGGAAAAAGCTTTCCAAGGATGAACTATAAATGTGACAAAGGGATCAAGGACGACAATCTTTTATATGAGTGATAAGCCAGGACTTTCAGTAGTATTTAAAGCTGAGAAAAGTGGCGTTGTGGAAAAATATCAGTGCAATGGATACTTAGAACAAGTTGAACTAATTAAGTGGAACTGAACTCTCAGGTAAGTATGTAGAAGATTGCACCTAGGTGTATTTCCTCACAGTGCTATAAGTGCCTTTTAGAAACCTGGCATGAAAAGCCAGTCAGATTGTGTTCTCCTGAACCTCACTTCCATGTATTGCTAATGTAGCTGTGGGAGGTGGCAAGGAGACGTCACATTTTATCTTGATCATTTTCAAGAGTTCAGAGCTGTGCATATCTTCACAGGTAGATAAGTATTATTTTTCAAACCAGTGATTCCAAACCTTGTGTCTCCAGCTGTTATTGGACTACAAATATCAATATGGCTGATGGTTTAGAGACAAATGAGAATTTTAGTCCAACTGTATCTAGGGCAGTGGCTCCCAAACCTTTTTGGTCATGGAAACCTCCAGAAGAACCCTAACTCTGTTCCTGATTTGCCCATGGAACCTGTTTCTAAGCATTGCAAACCTACATAATTCTTCCTCCTTCTTTCATCTACTTCTATTTCTTGGTGTTTTGTATAATGTAGTATGTTTGGAAATAAAGATATTCAAATATCATTTTTAAAGCAGAGAAACATTGAATTTCAGTAATATCTTCATACTCTGACTCACTTAGGCGATCCCCCATAGCCTGAGGATGATGGTCCTCCAAGCTGGAATGTGTCCAGAGGAGGGCGACTAAAATGATCAAGGGTCTGGAGAACAAGCCCTATGAGGAGCGGCTTAAGGAGCTGGGCATGTTTAGCCTGAAGAAGAGAAGGCTGAGAGGAGATATGATAGCCATGTATAAATATGTGAGAGGAAGCCACAGGGAGGAGGGAGCAAGCTTGTTTTCTGCTTCCCTGGAGACTAGGAGGCGAAACAATGGCTTCAAACTACAAGAAAGGAGATTCCATGTGAACCCAGAATTCCTGACTGTGAGAGCCGTTCAGCAGTGGAACTCTCTGCCCTGGAGTGTGGTGGAGGCTCCTTCTTTGGAAGCTTTTAAACAGAGGCTGGATGGCCATCTGTCAGGGGGTGATTTGAATGCAATATTCCTGCTTCTTGGCAGGGGGTTGGACTGGATGGCCCATGAGGTCTCTTCCAACTATTTGATTCTATGATTCTAAGTGCAGTGTCTTGGTGGTGGGTCCATAGGTGGCTGTGGAGCCCTATTCTTGATCCCCATGTTCTCCTGCAGTGAGAACATCAGTTCCAGGTACCTTATTGTCACCAGGCTCATATTTCACTATGTTGCTGGCCACACTGCAGGCATTTGGTGAAATATGAGCAATTCTTCCTGACCAGCCAACGTAGTCTGGATTCTATAGAGCAGGAGTCTTAAACTTTTCCACTCATGACCCTTTTTAGCCTGAAAAATCATTACTTGACATCAGACATTTACTGATAACAAATCAGCATTTGTAGGGCTTGATAAAAAGGGTGATTTTTCTATTTGTCATGTACATCTGAAGCATTTTATGCAGAATCCACTGTAAAATACTGCACAACAGATTCATGTAAATGGCTAAAATAGTCATATGATACCATTCAGAAAATGTTTAATCTTGCCAAATTTTTCAGAACCCCAAAATTTTGCTAAAAACACTCAATTGGGGGTCTGGATGCACAGTTTAAGAAGCAGTGGTATACAGCACTTTCTTGCTTCCTATACTGCTTCTTGCGGACAATATTGTGGCATAAATATATTTGGAGTCACGCAGCATCAGAAGCAGGTGTTTTGGACTTCAGCTCCCAGAAATCCCAGCCATCTTACCACTGCAACAATTGCGAGAGTGGAATTGCAAAACATCTGGAGGAGCAGAGTTTGAGAAACACTGATCTAATATGGAATGAGGATGAGGTTGGAAATTACTGTGGTCTAAACCAGAGCATTTTTGCCATTTGCCATTTCACGGCACAGTAATTCAGTTTTACTACCAAACCAGAGGTTAAAGCAACCTCTTATAGGACACATACATAAACCATAATAACTAAAATATATAGAGAGACATCATATCTCATGAAAATCTTTTCATGTATATTTTAAAAAATATATGATTTGTAGGATAACATATATTTTCAAGATTTTGTCATTCCTCGTTATGTTCACATGACACACGTATATAGTGCAGCTGACACTTTAACGTGTTACACAGCAATAGCAGTGGACATTTTAGCAGGTTGGCAGAATGTAATCTGATTGCAGAAGATAGATAGGGGCAAAGAGAGAAAAGAGAAGTCTGCAAATCCTTGGTAAAATCATGCCCTGTGACACCACAGTGGATATGGAAACAACTGAGGTCACTGAGGTATTGTGAGAAACAAAACAGAAAGAGATTGCAGTCAAAGCAACTAAAGTTATTGGCTTTGTTATGGAAAATACTAGCAATTCCAGGAATTACTACTGGTTTTTTTATGGTGAGTTATTAGAAAACACTCCAGGTCTCCCTCTGAAGTGGAAAAAATACAGATTTATTTAGCTGAGACCTCAGGTGGATCACTCCAACACAAATTCCCGAAGACCCCATACAGTCTTTGAACAAAGCATTTATACTGTTGTCATATATTCAAAGCATTCCAAGGCACTACATATAATAATATACTTTATTTATATTCTGCCCTATCTCCCAGAGGGAACTCAGGGCAGATTACAGTACACATATATGGCAAACATTCAGTGCCATTATATTTATTTATTTAGAACTTTTATATCCCGTTCTTCTCTACCTCCGCTGAGGGACTCAGAACGGCTAACAGCAAAATTCAATACAATACAATAAATAACATCATAAAACAACATACACAAAAAATAAGTTCTAAAATACATATAAAAAATTCATCACATTAAAAACAACATCCAACTCAGTCCAAAATGTTGTGGTCAAATAACTTTTAGTCTATACCAGATCATCCATCAATCTTCAAATGACTGATTCCATAGCCAGGATTTTAGCTGCTTTCTGAAGGACAGGAGAGAGGGGGCAGACCTACAATGAACAAAGGCAGGCAGTAAATAAATAAAGGTAAAGGCTTCCCGTCTTTTCCCATCTCTGGCATCTGGAAGCTGTGCTGACCTCCAGCCATGTTTTTTTGGGGGGAGGGAGTTGTTGTCACACCATCTTCCATGGTGAGGAGCTTTGTTGTCCTTAGACGCTCTCCCGATCAAATCCTCGCCATGTCCACATGGGCGCCTTTTATTACCTTCCTGTCAAAGTGGTACCTATTTACTCATACTGCTCTTTTTGAACTGCTAGGTGAGCAGAAGCTGGGCTGATGGTTGAGAGCTCACCCTAACCTGGGCTTGAACTGTCAACCTTTTGATTGGCAAGATTTTCTGCAGCTGGCGGTTTAACCCACTGTGCCAAAGCCCAGCCTGAATGGTACAGGAAAATCAGCCAAGGTGACGCCTACAAAGCACTAACTTTTCTCTTAAATAAGCAAAAAAGAACATACAATTCATTTCCTGATCACATGGCGCCTCCTACTGTCTCATACAGCATCATACAGGTGAAAATGTCTGTATGATCTTACTGACCCCTTCAGTTTGATCTGGAGGGAGTGTGCCACATATAAATTTAATATAAAAAATGCTAAGAGTAATATGCAAGAAGCCACTAAAAGTGAAACTCTTCATACATATGTATATGCTCATATAAAAATATCTCTGCAAGTTTAAAAATCTTCCTGACAATAAATTTTATATATGTAAAGAGTTTTGTATGGAGAGAGGGAATTAATTTTGTGATCTTCATGCTGCACACAGGAGTGGTATATTGCAGCAAGTACATCATGTGGGTCAGGTGAGTATGAAGTTTGACTCCAGGAATAAGGTATCTGCTCTGTGTGTGGCTTATACCTGTATATAGTAATATTTCATACAAGGTCTTATATTCAATTTTGAGGTATAGAGTGCTCAAGGAAGTTTTCTGCCTGGACATATAAGCTGCTGATTGGTTTATTGGTTATTAACCTTGATATATGGCACCCAACTCCTGATTAGAAGTATGGAGAATATTCACGTATTTCCCAATATCGGTTACCTAAAACAATTTTGTATTGGCCAAATGTGTAGTATGTTCACTGTATAGATGTTAGGAAATTTTGCATTGGTTCATGTTGTTTATATAGATTTTATTGGTTTTTTAAAAATAAATATGTAATTTTAAAGAAATTAAAAAGGAAAAAGCAAATATTTAGTATGTTTTGCAGACCATTCAAATTACTCAAACGTGTGTACGCTTTCAATGTTCTGGCAGACAGATGAAACCATTGTCTTACTGACTGTATAAATAGCTCTGCCAACTTAAATATGTGTTGCATCTTGATTTTGAATCATGCATTTACCAAAGTCTTGCCTAACTGGATCTTTCAAGTAGGTCACTGCAAAACACCAGGATATCTTTTGAAGTTGCTATATGAGTGAGTCAAGTTTCCCCTCTGGAAGGATCAAATAATACTGTTTAAATCTGTCCAAACCTGAATAGAGCCCTGTTACTCAACTAAAGTTAACTGTTAGCTTACAGATACCAAATAATTTTGTTTCCAGAAGGTTTTGAAGAACTGTTACTTTAAAAAAATGCCTGTTTGTAAACCAAAATCTCCATACAAATTTGATTATTTATTCCATTGATACCAGCTCAACAGTACAATGCTATTCATTTACATTCAGAAGTAAATCCTACTCTATTCTCTAATCTTATTCCAAGGTAAATGCGTATGGCTACAGCAAAAAAGTTCATCAAACTATGTCTGAATTTTCCTTTATGTTTTGTTGATATAATGCAACTTTAGCTCAACTTTCCACAGAACCAGTAAAGATTCGGCTTCAACAAAACAGATTTTTAAAAATAATTTGGATGATTTAATTATTTAATGGAGCCCCCGGTGGCACAGTGGGTTAAACCCCTGTGCCGGCAGGACAGAAGACCAACAGGTCGCAGGTTCGAATCTGGGGAGAGGTGGATGAGCTCCCTCTATCAGCTCCAGCTCCTCATACAGGGGCATGAGAGAAGCCTCCCACAAGGATGATAAAAACATCAAATCATCTGGGCGTACCCTGGGCAACGTCCTTGCATACAGCCAATTCTCTCACACCAGAAGCAACTTACACTTTCTTAAGTCGCTCCTGACACAACAACAAAATTAATTTTTGAATTGAGACCCAAATTAGGATATTTATTCAAGCCAAGTTGATAGGCAAGAACTGAACTGACCCACAAGCAGCCATTGCTTCAAAGCTGCAGAGAAACAATCAAAACCCCTAGCCTGATACAACAGAAGACACATTTTATTTAAAAAACCCCAAAAGAAGTCCCAAAGATTGGGCATTGCTTATGACTTCTGCCATTCCTGAAACCACCTCAGGCTTTGAAGGCTGGGTCTCTGGCTTGCCAATGTGGAAGTTCAGTGGGGTGTGCTTCCCTTCCTTCATCAGCTTCTTCCTCTGTTCTGTGACGGCTATCAGATGCTTAATCCTTTTGTGCATGGTGTTGCACTCAGTCAGGTCCTCCATCTCCAGGCAGCACTCCCTCTTGGCCTGCGTCTGGCCGATGCCCTCGGAGCACTCCAGCCACTCC